CGATAAAACAAACATGTGGTTATGGGATAACATTACATGTTGAGAATATTAACGCATAAATTGGATACAAAAAGCTACAAGAGACGCTATACTTCTCACAAAATTATTGTTTTATCAGTATTATTTTGCTCTACTGATTAAAACTGAAATTTGTTAGATATTTGACGAATACAGGGTGTGGCGTGTATAATCTATACGAATTAAACTACAGCTTCCTAACGATATTTGTAATAGAAAAGTCTTATACGAAAAAGTTCTATTTTTGCGTTTTTTTTTTTCGTAAATTAAAGTTCAATTATGGATCAAAATATTTTCTCTGGAACGGTCTGTACGATAAGTTATGCTGTAGACCAGCTGCGTAAATAAGTCGTCGTTGAAAGATAGAAAGATACTTCCCAATTTTTGGGGAATTTTTCAATGCAAAAGTACAAACTAAGAAAAATAGATATTTAAAAAAAACTGATATATCCTTATTATAATAATTAATAGTAATTACTATCTTAAATGCATTGTTGTTACTGCAAGAGTTCGCAAACAAAACCACATCCGTAAGCATCTGTGGTTGCCAACTGCGTGCACTAAACAAACTCCATTACGGGTAAATGTCGCCTCATCTGTTACACAAACATAAGCAGGAAACTTACACAGTCTACTTAATTGACACATTGCCGTAAAATCTGCTGAACAAATTGCAGATGATAGGGGTGCAACAGCTGGCGACTTATGATGCGATGTACGGTACGAGATGAGGTCCTACTTGCTGTGCGAGTCGTCGAGTACTAATTATGGGGTCTTTGTCAAGATTTTCCAACACTTCAACATTAAGGTTCACTTGCTGACCACATCCTTCTCATCGAGGAATAACACTTCCCGTATCTCGCAGCCGCTGTACGCACTGTAGGATTCTATTTGCACATGGGGGGTGACGTTGTGACCATCGTTTCCGGTACAACTTAGTCGCCGCGAGCGCATTTTCTCCGGCTGCACCATACACTAACACCATATCGACACGTTCGGAAATGCATTGTTTTCTCCGGTTCATTGTAAAACTAGTTTGTGCACAAACTAAAAAATTATGCAAAGTAAGAAATAAGAATATCGTTTTCAATGTAATCGGCACGCTATTCTTATTTTTTACTTCTTTATAAAAATTACACTGTCACTATCGTGGAATTACAAAATAAACACTTTTGTCTGGATATCTTTCACTTTTTAACACTGATGGGTCCATGGACGATGCTTAATATTTAATAATTAAGTGAATAATGAATTCCATGCAAATACAAAATCAGTTGACTGCACAAATTTTTTGACAATGTAACCTAACCTTCTTTTAGTATTACTAGTATTAGATTATACCGACTTAAATTATAAGGTTGCATCTCAGGTCGCATAAAAACATTTCCAAAGTTTTTAATAAATAACACAGTGTCGGCCTTCATTTTCGTTGAATAAATGAACTTTAATTTACAAAAAAAAAACGCGAAGATAGAACTTTTTCGTATAAGATTTTCACAAATATCATCATGACGCTGTAGTTGTTAATTTTTATAGATTATACACGCCACACCCTGTATATTCGCTTGGGATAATTAAATAAATCCAAAGGTTTCTATGACCATTATTCAAGAAATTATTAAAATTTATGAGACGGATGCATTTAACTTTTCCGTTTTTCTGAGTTTTAATTAATTTTTCATAAAATTGCGCCTAAAGAAATATAGCAAGCTTAGAATTTACAATTTGCGGGAAGTTGTATGAAAGCTTCGCTCACATACTTACCTAGCACGTATAAACTTCCACTTTCTCTAAATATACTACAAAGAAAATATATATATTTGAGTAAAAGTAATCTGCGAGAGAAAGGTTCAAAAGCTGATGCTGCATTGAGGTTTAATTAAAGACTACTTTAAAAATATTTATGAAATTATAAAAATTTATGGCCACTTATGATCCAAAGAAAATAGAATCAATGTTACTTTCACATACTATAAACTATTTATGTGCATGGGATAATAATTTAGTAAAATTGAAAAAGATTTTAAATTTTAATTAATTATATTTGACCTTATAGCAATCGCAGCCTCCTATTATAAAACACGTTTGATGATGTTATAGTTGAATAATTACGAATAAAGAAACATGACAAAACGTAAACTACATGCAGTTTGATGTAGAGAAATAAAAATATTATTAACCAGAAATTTAAGCCGTGTGTTTATGTAATAAAAATTTTATTAGTTTCAGAGAGTTATTAGTATTACACATAACTACCGTCTTCCGTGATAGTTTTATAGAAAAAACACGTTTTCATTACATGGCTATTCCTAAAGACATAATCACAGCGTAATCATTATTTATTCTCTTATCTTATGTATACAAAAGTATATCAGTAAAGTAGACGTTAAAACGAATATAAACATACGAATTTCAAAGAATAAACTATAGAAATATGCCTAGGATATAATTTTTTTCTGCTAGCAACATATTGGCCATTAGGTACCCGATTTAATTAAAAATATAAAACACTTTTTCAAGATTTTTTTTTCGATTTCGTTGTATGCGTTCTATTTCCAATAGTTGCTGTCTATGTATTTATGAAAAAAATATATAACACGTGCTGTAAAGGGAAATCAAATTTAATTACACCTTGAGCAAGGTTAAGTTCGAGGTTAAGATATTATCAGTTGGATAGGTACCTATTATCCTTGGCACCCATTACTTGCGTTGCACATACGATTAGAAGGTGCTTACATAAATTAAGAAAAAAAATATAAACGAAAAGTAATTAGTTGCGTCATTATAACACTATGTGTAACTTCATAGGAATACAGAGCAAGAGCAAACGTCCTTCACAAGGGAGTTAGAGAAACAAATTTTTGATATAAGGATAAAGTAATAATTTTTTACAAGATAGGCAATGTCAGAATTATCGGACAATTTTCTGATTAAATGGAATGCTTTTATTTTCATAATTTTCAGTAGATTCATTGCTTAGAAAACCGAATATTTATTTCTCAACAACTGTCTAGTGACACATGGAACTCATGGAAGTAGTCTGTTTCTTGCAGTTTAAAGTAGGCTGCTGTCAAAAATTGTATATAATAGTTGACAGAGTTTAGGAAGGTTAAATTTAACTCCAAACAAACAAAAAATATCTCGTTAATGAATAATGACATCACCACATGCGTCAAAGCACTTGTACAGGGCCATTAAGGTCGGCGAGGTACGATATCAGGGAGAGTATAGGCCCTAGAGTTTCGGGAATGAAATATTGATGAATAAATCGACGAAGAGAAATCGCTGGAAATAGTTTTCAAGTTCGTACCTCGGCCGCTAGGGGGCGCAATCTACATACCAAAACGTAAAGTTGAATTTTTCTCAAAAATATTTCTTATTCAGGTATATTAAACAGTAAAATATGGATAGCCGGTTTCATTGCACATAACTTTTGTTATTGACATTTTATTGACAGAAAAATGCGTTTTTTTAAGGATTGGCTCGTCAAAAGCCCATAGTGTTATACCTCGTTGAAAAGGTATTTTCTTGAATTATCTCGTGGTGAATACGTAATATCATTTACCTCAATATGGAAACCTATAGATGGCGTTATTTCAAAAGAATGTCGTCTTATGGATTTTTCTCAAAAATTTCCATAAATCAATTCAGCACAAACAATTGATGAATTTATATAGTTATAAGTTAGAAATTTCTAACGAAAGTGTTGTTTATTTATTGGAGCTATGTATCCAAGTTTAGGTTGTTTCACGTTTTCTTAAAAACGTGAAAAAAACTCACTATATAAATTTTTCAAAAATTTTTTAGTGAATTCTGGTTACATTTTGATTTAAAGATATAATGCCAACCGTGTTTGTGGTAAAAAATCGTTAAACATGATTTATATCGGTCTTGATTCTCTTGAAATGTTTTTGCTAAATCTACTGTGTAATTATATACATTAAAAAATTGTACTGTGTAATACTCTTGTTAATGGTTTCACGAAATTCATGAATTTCTTTGACTCTGTAAAACGGCCATAAAGTATATATCTTGTCTAAATCTCAATAATAACAATGAAATTTAACTCTTCCTAAATACTGTTGCAAGAAACAAAAATACTACTACTTTCAATTTGTTTCATCTTATTTGCATCACAAAATTATTCTTCGTTTTATTTAAATATGGAAAAATATTTCCAATTTAAATTATTTTACTTTTATCTAATAAACTACTTTCGTTTCCATCGGAAAATTCATCCATATATTCAGTATCATTCTCTCCTATATATGTCTATTTCAATCTCAACCATCAAGCTTGTATCATATCTGAATATATTTAAAGGATTACATCATCACTGTGAGTCATTTTTATTCAAACGCTAATATTTGTCCGTCTGATACAGACAATGTACGTCGTTAAATTGTTTTAGGAAGTCGTTTCTAGAATAACGATATTTTAATAAATATTTTCCGTGCCAACATTGTTAATGATAAGGACTAACATGAACAACATGAAGTTATTTTTTTTACTTTGTTATTACAGATAAATATTGAACAGCTTGGAAAATATGTTGGTCGTTTATTTTATAAAAATAGGAATACACACAATTAACCACAATTACATTTCACGTTGAAATAAATAATTACATTGTAATTGTAATAATTTTCAGTCACATTATCAGTAGACATTGAAACTGTTGTTATTTTAAAAATAGCATGCGGCTATTCAAACATTAAAGTTGTTTAAATTTAACAGGCCGGTGTAATATATTGAAGCTTTGATTATTTTCTATTCCATTGTATTAATAGTGTTCAATCAAGTCCAATTTATATTGATTAGAACAAATTTTCCGCAATTTATTCAGTTAATGAAATATAATTGAGCATTTTAGTAAATAGATATTCTGTTTTTTTGTTATAATATCCAAGTTATTGTCTTTAAAAAACTGAACTTTTCTCATACACATGTATCTGTTATAAGCACATTTATTTTTGTTTTAGATATGTCCCCACTAGACTATGGGGCTTCAGTGGTCATGTCCAGACTATCCTCCACAGCGTGATAGGACGCGTGAAATGCCCATGGCCCATCGGCGAAAGGGTTTTTCTCAACCTAGACGATGGTACCACTCTAACTTATGACATGTATCAGCCCCTGGACACCAGCTTTCAAGGTAAACTAATCCTAGCGCAAAATTATGAATTTGCAATAAAATACAGGGCATAACTTACACAGGCTACCTTTGACCTATAGAAACGCTTATCATAAGTCTGTTTACTGAAATTTCTTCGTGGAAACTGATTTTTTTAACTCTTTTTTCGTAATTCTCTTACGCCACTGCCACTCTTTTTGAATTAATTGTTTTTAAATTTAATTTTTTTTAAATTCCGCATTGCTGCACTGCACTGGTAGGCAATTTGTCAACAACTGAAATTTATGACCCAGTCACAGAAAATTTTCAAACGAGGAAGTTGTACGGTTTTGTTAATTAACTGTTTTAATATTAAATATATATTTTTTATTTATTTACCAATATTGAGGATTTTCTTTTTATTTACACCTCGGGTACTATATTTGAGAAATATCAGACTGTGACTGTGCCACAGTATGCGGAAATTCTTCAAAAACTATTTGCACCGCTTTAGGAATATTTCTGCATTGTTGGCCAAGCTATTCCAAAATCAGGAATTTCGTACATCATTTTAGGATACCCCTTTCGATCTGTTGTATCAAATACTCGTATTCGATAAGTGTTTACTTTTTGTTTGGTTATGTTACATCGGCCTTTTTCTGCTACTATGACTAAACACCGACGCTAAGAGATAAACAATCCCCAATCTGGACATTTTGCCTAACCCCCACTTTGTCGTGGGTAGGTATCTTTTACTTGCCTAACATTGTTTACACAAAGGACTAACGGTTTTACATCTTCTCTGAGGGATGAGTTATGATATGTCTTCCTGTACAAACCTCGCCTAAATTTGTATAGCTTATGTGAACACGCCGACATGCAGGCCATTAGAAAGTGGACGAGCATCGCGAGCCTTCTCCGGATGGTCACCGATCGCGATCAGCATTGCTTGATTGTCATGTGTAACCTGAGGGGTTATTTCTTTATTTATCTATCTACCGTTGTGACCAGTATCATGACGATACTGGCTTTCAAAAGAATTTACTATTAACTTCTCGAAAGGGCGTTTATAATTTCTATCATCTACTCTTTAATTAATACGCTCATGTAGAATGTAATTCGGTGGTTGGTTATATAGGATGACATTAAAGTTGGAAGAACAAGAAAACGCCAAAACTTTAGGGTTGAATAACAATAAAAAACACAAACAAAATAACGAAGACAGCGGATTCGAACAAACATTCATTTCAAAATTTGGAAAGGCTTTATCCGTTATTAAATTAACCCGAGACTCTAAGGCCCAGTACTTTAAGTCTCGGTAAAAGCTTGATTTACTGATCAGGCGATTAGACTGTACATATACTGATTTATTTTATGAAGGATAGTCACAGTCTAATCGCCTGATTAGTTAATCAAGCCTTAACTGAGACTCAAAGTACCGGGCCTAAAATTAAGAAAACTGCCCAGTGTGGAGTCCAAGGAGAAACTGCCTTTTTTCGGAGATTTCTCCTGAATTCGACACCTCTGTTCGACACGCCCATTTCTTGGGGTTACAGAAGTTTCGGTTATTATTTTATTGGCGGGATTCCTGAGTGTCTGGGGTTGGAATGGCTTGACTATACCATGTTAATAACTAATTAACTGAATTTACAATTGTATGGATAATTTTGTGACTAAACTGAATTTACAAGTAACCCCACACCTTCGTCTTGTGACTCCGTATAGCAACACGGACCGGATTACTCAGTCTCATTTAATTTATTCTTATAGCCTAAAAACCAGCTATTTGATCTATTATTTTCCTCACAACAATCTAACAACTTATTTAAATATCTTGGAATTCCTCACCATGGGCCAAACCGACGCAGCTAGTCGATACCGGATGCCTAACACATGGCCTAGATGATCTAAGACTACTTGTTCGAAATCATTGCTAAATTTCGTGAGGCCTTCTTCAAAGGACTGCGACGGTCAAGCTTTGCAAATTTATTACTCCCGATGACAAGAGGCACCAGTTTCTCAACGGCTTTATGGCGACGCTAAACCTACTTGAAGACCCTTAACTTTTCAATAGTTATTGTCGACTTAGTTGGCTCATCCGTTCGTAGAACTAACAAATAATCTATCACGAGTCCCGGCTTTTGTTACACATGCCTTTTAAAATATGACTAAAGAAATCTCTACAGCTGCAGAAGAAAATTGCAAACTGCGTGTGAGCCATTATGATTCCGATTAGCCACATCATGAATACTTTAACGTAATTTTATGTTCGTTATTCCCATTGTATTATGAATTGCAATTGGAAATTACCGAGTAGTTATTAAACCCGACTGTGAACTGTGAAGCAAGTAATTATTATAGAAATGGTCAATTTGAGTAATTTGTAATGCCTCAGTACTTCAACTTTCACTCATATTAACGAAGCATCCTTATAGTAATTTTTCATTTTCAGATGATATAACCATAGCCATCTGCCCCGGCATATGCAACACCTCGGAAAGCGTCTACATTCGTACGTTTGTCCACTGGGCACAGTACCACGGGTACAGATGTTGCGTCCTCAACCACGTGGGTGCTTTGCAAAATGTACCCGTCACTGCGCCTCGTATATTCAGCTATGGTAAAAGTCTACGATCTAAAACTTGCGTCGTGTGTGTTAAAAATTGTAATTTTTCAGGTAATACAGATGACTACGACGCAATGCTGAAAAGTGTTACATCCAGACACCCCAACTCGAAGGTAGTATGCGTGGGCTTCAGTTTGGGGGGGAATTTGATAACGAAATATCTAGGGGAGACGGCAAAGGAAAAGTCGTCCAATATCATCGGCGGGATATCCATATGCCAAGGATACTGTGCTCTGGAGTAAGTATGTGGAATTTGTATTATTCGCAGTAAAAAAATACATAAATAAAAAAAATTCAGCATTGAAATTCGCAGTAAAAGCGGCTTGGGACTGTTTTAACCTCTTACTGGCAACAAGCACAATGAGTACCGAGAATTCCAGACACAAGACAATTTACCCTCTATTTTCTCTTAAAAATGACACTCGGCGACAACTGTCTCATGGTTGTTGTTTTTATTGACACAATCACCATGTAACGCTTTCCTCGGTGTTTCCAGGGGGACCAAGTGGCTGCTCGACTGGCAGAACTTCCGCAGGTTCTACCTGTACATAATGACGGAGAACCTGAAAAACATCATCCTGAGACACAGGACCGTACTGCTGTCCGACGAGGTGAAGAGACGTTACAACCTGAACGAACACGAGATTGTCTCTGCCGCCACCCTTCCCGAGCTGGACGAGGCCTACACCAGGCACGTGCACGAATTTAATTCTATATCGGAATTGTATAAGTGGAGTTCCAGTATCAACTATTTGCATCAAATCGATCGGCCGATGCTGTTCATCAACGCCAAGGACGACCCCATCGTTCCCGAGCCTCTGCTGGAGCCAGTGAAGAAGTTAGCAAGTGAGTACCTAGTAAATGCAGTTTCTGTCGGTGGATAAATACAAAGTGGCCTCCACAACTTTTGTAGAGGTCACTTTTTACGATAACCTCAAAATTTCCGAGAAAAATGCGAAAAACGTTTTTTTTTCTGATTTTTCGTTTTTTATTTCTCATTTCCGCAAAAATAATTTAATTTTGACGAAACTTGGTGAAAGTGTACCTTTCTGTGTTGTAAATAACCACAAATTTTTTTAGGTAAAAAAATCTAGAAGTTTCCGAGATATTAATTTTTCTGGTCTGAAACACTTTTTTTTCAAAGAAAAATTCTACTCAGAAAAATCATCGTACAGAGTTCTGGCATGATAATTTTTTTCGTTTTGACATACTTTTTGGTGAAGTAAAAAAAACAGTTGAAAATCATGCTGAAAAATAAAAAATCACTTGCAACAATGAATTTTTCAGTAATTATTGATAATTTGTTTAAATTTAACTAAAAATCAAAAACTGATTACACCAATTTTTTTTCCGGCTTTATTTGAAAACGAATTTTAAAATAAATTGCATATTTACAATGCCACTTTTTTCGCTCTATACTTAGGCATCAACGTTTTTGCAATCCGACGTTTCGTCTTCGAGGGGCCATCATCTGGTTAATTTTTTTAAATATGTCATTTTTAATTCTAAATTAGATGATATTACTATTGTAATCGCTTAAGCAATCTAATTCAGAATTAAAAATGACTGGATTTTGTCATAAAAATAGTAGCGACGTATTTAAAAAAATTAACCTGATGATGGCCCCTCGAAGACGAAACGTCGGCGAAAAAAGTGGCAATGTTGATATGCAATTTATTTTAAAATTCGTTTTTAAATAAAGCCAGAAAAAAAATAGAACTATTTTGCAAAATTTCGGGTTTTCCGGTTTCGCGTCAACAGCAGACTTTACAGTTAATACTTTGTATTGCTGAAATCTTAAATCATCCAGAGATAATTTATCATTTGTGCATTTGTAAGACATAGGTTTATTTGTATTTTTTTCCGTCGAAAAGTAATCATTTTTTTATATATTTTTTTTTAATTTAAACAAATTAACAATTACTGAAAAATTCATTGTTGCAAGACAATGTTGTTTTTGTTTTTTTTTTGCACTTATGAGCATGTTTTTGAACTGTGATTACAGATTTTTTTATTACACCAAAAGGTATATGTCAAAACGAAAAAAATGATCATCGGCATAACTCTGTACGATGATTTTTCTAAGTAGAATTTTTCTTTGAAGTTAAAGTGTTACAGACTGGAAAAAATTAATATCTAGGAAACTTCTTGATTTTTTTATCTAAAAAAATTTGTGGTAATTTAAGACACAGAAAGGTATACTTTCACCAAGTTTCGTCAAAATTAAATTATTTTTGTGGAAATGAGAATAAAAAACGAAAAATCAGAACAAAACCAATTTTTCACATTTTTCTCGGAAATTTTGAGGTTGTCTTAAAAAGTAATTTCTACAAAACTTGTAGATTTTTGCATGATCTGCAACTTTTGTATTGGATACTTTTTTGTTTGACGTCAACTTTCGCCAGAAATCCCAATGATACAATTTTTCACAAATTTTTAACCCCCAAATTTTTTATAAGTCCTTTTACCATTTCCACTTATAAAAGCCCAGGTAACACTTGCGGTGGGTCACCTTAAAGGTCACACTAGTGCGAATTGGGATTTTGTCAACTTTGAACCTTTATGTCTTCTTTATTTGTTAACGAAAACAGCGTGTTTATAATTTATATCAAAAATTTTTGAAGAAATCGAATGATGTAAATAGGTTTGAAAAAAAAATTAGTTGGTAAAATATGTGATTGAAAAAAAAAACATTTTTCGGAAAATGACTTAAATTCGTATTTTTTGTAAATAATGGCTGCTGAAAAAATTAAAAAAGGATTTTGAAAATCAGTATATTTTTAAGAAAAAAATTAATTGATAAAAAGATATCAATTTCTCCAGGTATCTGGAATATAGGCATTTTTTGGTTGTTGATGTTTATTTTGCACTCTTTTGTATAAAAATGTTAATTTAAACAATATTATCCATAAATATTGACAAATACATGTTACAATTAAACTATTAATGAAAAAAATATACTTCTGCAAAAAATTAAGGGAGCAAAAAAAATTTTCGAATTTTTAGTGATTTTTCAGAATGCTGTATCTCAGTTAAAAATGATCGTATCAAGGTTTTAAAAAAAGCATTTTAAAGCGCCAAATGTCTAGTTTCCAGATTTCTTAATTCAAAATTTTTAGGAGCGACAGTCATCGTGAAATTCTAAGAAATAATACTAAAAAAATTTTTTTCAATTTTTTGCGTTTTTTTTCCAGGTCCACGGGCTTGGGAAAATTTTTGAAACATAAATCATGATATGGACTTGATAGCCTATTCATTCAGCTTTAATTTCTTTTTTAAAATTTTTCTCTACGTTAATTTGACCCGGAGATATTCGACTACGAATACAAAAGCATCCTTTTGGCTTTAACCATCGATATCTCAGCAACTAATGATCAGACAGAAAATTGACGGGCAGTTTCGAAATCTCGAATAAACCTCCTACAAGGCTATGTAGCGTTCTTGGAAGAAAAAAATTTTCTTTCATCCTCGACATTAACTTGAAAAAAGTGAAAAAAAGTGACTTTTTGACTTGTTTTGCTAAGTCGACCGCATCTTTGCTAATATCGATGGAGAGTCTAATGCTTGTACGAATTTTTACACCTCGATGTACCCCCAAAAGCTCCGTAAATGGGCAGATCGATCTATCGAACGGTTTTTCCGGACCGCTTAATCAAAATTTCAGAAAAATTTAAAGGAGCAAAATTTACATTTCTGAGCACCCTGTAACGTTCGTAAAAATGAAAAATTTGATTTTTTTTCAATTCTTTCACAATTGGGCATTTTTTGCTCATTGAATTTGAAAAAAAAAATAATTTTTGAAAAAAAAACTTTTTTTTTAATTTTTGAAAATTTTTTGAAAATTTACTCTTTTTTATTTTTTAACAACTCAAGATAAAAATATTGAGTCATTTTTGAAGCGATGTACTCTTTCCGTACCGTAATTTCCTTTATTTTGAATTAACGAAATTGATTAAAAGTTGATACCCCCAAGATTGGTGTAGTCCTCGATCTGCGAAAAAATAGTGCGTATTATCCTAAACTTTCTTACGAAGCTAACAAGTGTGAAAAAAACAGTTTTTTTTTAAACTCTATCTTTGATTCAAAGGAACCAACCAACAGTTTTTCTCAAAACTAACAATATTTTTTGTAATTCTAGTGAAAAAAATTAATCAAAAGTTTTTGTAGACTTCAATTTTTTTAATTTTTGTCATGCCTAGACGGCATTTATCCGCACCAGAAGTCGCTCAGCTTCGTAAGAAAGTTTAGGATAATACGCACTATTTTTTCGCAGATCGAGGACTACACCAATCTTGGGGGTATCAACTTTTAATCAATTTCGTTAATTCAAAATAAAGGAAATTACGGTACGGAAAGAGTACATCGCTTCAAAAATGACTCAATATTTTTATCTTGAGTTGTTAAAAAATAAAGAAGAGTAAATTTTCAAAAAATTTTCAAAAATTAAAAAAAAAATTTTTTTTTCAAAAATTATTTTTTTTTTCAAATTCAATGAGCAAAAAATGCCCAATTGTGAAAGAATTGAAAAAAAATCAAATTTTTCATTTTTACGAACGTTACAGGGTGCTCAGAAATGTAAATTTTGCTCCTTTAAATTTTTCTGAAATTTTGATTAAGCGGTCCGGAAAAACCGTTCGATAGATCGATCTGCCCATTTACGGAGCTTTTGGGGGTACATCGAGGTGTAAAAATTCGTACAAGCATTAGACTCTCCATCGATATTAGCAAAGATGCGGTCGACTTAGCAAAACAAGTCAAAAAGTCACTTTTTTCACTTTTTTCAAGTTAATGTCGAGGATGAAAGAAATTTTTTTTCTTCCAAGAACGCTACATAGCCTTGTAGGAAATTTATTCGAGATTTCGAAACTGCCCGTCAATTTTCTGTCTGATCATTAGTTGCTGAGATATCGATGGTTAAAGCCAAAAGGATGCTTTTGTATTCGTAGTCGAATATCTCCGGGTCAAATTAACGTAGAGAAAAATTTAAAAAAAGAAATTAAAGCTGAATGAACAGGCTATCAAGTCCATATCATGATTTTTGTGTAAAAAAATTTTCCAAGCCCGTGGACCGAGAAAAAGAACGCAAAAAATTGAAAAAAAAAATTTTTAGTCTTATTTCTTAGAATTTCGCGATGACTGTCCCTCCTAAAAATTTTGAGCTAAGAAATCTGGAAACTAGACATTCAGCGCTTTAAAATGCTTTTTTAAAACCTTGATACGATCATTTTTAACTGAGATACAGCATTCTCAAAAATCCCTAAAAATTCGAAAAATTTTTTTGCTCCCTTAATTCTTTGCAGAAGTGTATATTAATAACTAAATAATCAACGTTCTAGTCTATTCGACACGTAATGTGAGGTGAAAAAAATAGGAAATGTGCATTTAAATTCACTTTACATCTAGATTATACGATATAAATTCAGTCACACTTTTACCCACACTAAAGTCACACCAGTGCGAAATCGCACCAATCGGATTTTTCAGACTCTCTAGTTTGGCCAACAATAACGGAGGCCAGCTGTGGTACGGCTCGACTGTTTGGGCTATAGAAGGAATTATAGTGGTGGGGGAAACCTCGGCAGCTGCTACCTGAGAAATGCCAGTTGTTCATAAAAAAAGGGTGGTGCGAATTCGCACTAGTGTGACCTTGGAGGATACTTGGCTATTTATTTAATGAAAAAATATATGTATTCAGATTAGTACTCTGGGGAACACCTACTATTACCTCTAAAAAATTGACCCCCATTTATAGTTACATCCTATGTATAGAAATAGAACGACAAGTGGGTTATTTGTAATAAATGAATTGCCTTTTTGGTGAATTTAGACTGTTGACATCTAGGAGGCAGCACTGTTAGTGGTGTCAGGTCCAATGGTACATCTTAGACTGTAGACTTCCATGACACTTGTCAATTGTTAAACATTTTTTGAGCTGGAACCCTCAATTTAGAATTATTCATGCTTGACATTGTTATCTTCTTCAAAGGAAACTGAAATTGTAGATTAAGTCCTCTGTTCGGTATTCATATTTGCTGTGTATACCGGTCCATGTTGTTTTGATGCATGGTTTGAAGACATTAGCCTGTGAATTATTAGTAGTTTTCAAATTCAACATAGTTCTAAAATCTTAGCTGAAATCATTTCTCCAGAGTAGGATTTTAGTCAAAATCCTTTCCCTCTTATTAAGATCTTGGTATTGCTTCTGTACCTGGCGAACACTTGTGCCTTCGATGCAGTTCTTTGAAATAATCTCACATGAGAACTTACATATGGCATTCTCTTAATCTTGATAAAATTAATAAATTGCACCTGCTACAATACATACCACTGGATTTGACAGTGTTGACTGACCATGCTGCCCTCTAGATATCAACAGCCAAAGTTTACCTAAACCATAGGAATAAATCTCTTGTTCCTGCCTCATATTGTATGTTCGATGGTACATTTTTAGCAACTCTCTTTTGATTTCAGCGGAAAAGTCCAACATCGCCTACATCGAACTCGCTCACGGGGGACATTTGGGCTTCTACGAGGGTGGCCTCATATATCCCAACCCGGTGACATGGTTAGATCGTACTTTAGTGGCTCTTATAGGGAGCCTCGCGCTTAATTACGACGACAATGTGAAAAAACAGTTCCTATAGATATAATTTCCTTACAAACTCCTCTTAAAAGTATTTATAATAGCTTTTGAATTATCGTCCATTTTTTTTTACACTAAGTCCGCCAAAACGAGCCTTAGTTTTCCAAAATAAATTTTTTAAAATGACCAAACTATCGCTGCTGAATAATTTTTGAAATATAACGGTGAACGGGATATATCCGCACCGCGTCCGTCTTTTGTTTATAGTTTCAGAACGGATCTTTTTCACAAATTTCAGTTCTGTCCGAAACTAATAGTATTTATCGTGTTCAATGCATCAAATTTTTTACCATGATACTCCCTAGATAATATTAAAATGGTAGGAAGGTGACGTCGCGTCCATACAGCTGCAGCATCCAATCGATAAACGGCAAAGTAATGTCCAATCCATCGAATCGATTGATATAACACGAATACGGTTGCCTTTGTTAAAGGTTTTTTAACAATTTGGCAACAGTGTCGGTGTCAAAATAAAGCTGCATACTTCGGAGCAGAAATAAGATCTGTATCAAGGGTAACACATGCAAATCAGGGCTTTTTAACTGTTGATATTGGGGGAAACAACTACTCTGGGGACTACAGCCCTGTCCAGCATTGAATTACAGGGCCAGTAGGCCGTGCAGATATGAAACAATTTTTAGGCACACGTCGCCAACCTACTCCTTTAAAACATGGTGTTTCTTATACAGGGTGTTCAAAAAGTTTGCAACCCCCCCTCTATCTCAGAAAATACTGCTCAAACAAAAAAATGATTAGGACAAAAGTTGCAGGATTTTGAGTGAGCAATCCAACGGTGACCTTGACCATGACCTTGANAAATGATTAGGACAAATGTTGCAGGGTTTTGAGTGAGCAATCCGACGGTGACCTTGACCATGACCTTGAAGATCATTTAGAGGTCATGTTTTAAATGGAACCATATACTTTTGACCCTGGAAATGGTAAGAGCGGAAATTTTTCAAATGTGACCTTAACCATGACCTTCAAGGTCATTTAGAGGTTTGACGTTACAGTTACCTTTAGGTCATGATCAAAGACATTTTTGAATTTTACGCTCACTCAATTTCCGCAGTCGAGAATATCGAGTCATTCATTAAAAATCGACTTGACCTGTAAACGACCGTGAAGGTCAAGGTCATGGTAAAAATTTCCATTTTTTCCATTTCCGGGGTCAAAAATATATGGTTCCAAACTTTTTGAACACCCTGTATGTGTTTTATGTCGCAAATTCGCTATGAATTACTGCTGCATTGCCTGTATTAGTGAAGTTTTCAATTTCATTTGGGGCAACGTAGTAATATCTATTCTGCAAACGTGCTAAGAGATTTGAAAGTCCCGCCACACTCGTAGACTCATATAACGGAGAATAATCTACTCCTTTTCGATATGGTTGACTTGCTCAAGGTCAAAATTCATCCCCTAAACTTTTTTTTGTAACGTCCTTACTGATTTGTATTATACTGCGCCCGTATTGTTTCGTTGAACATATTTCATGGGTTCAGGTTGCTGCATTTAATGAAACCGACTGTTACAGCTGCCATACTGGGTATTTTTATTCGTCCTAGTTTTTATGTCCATCGTGTGTTACATGCATCGCTCAGAAGAAGAAACTGAGATATGGCCACGCAAAAGTAATGTTGCTTTGACTTAAATTCGGGAAATATTAAGTGAGATATAAAAATAATTTGATAATGCTTTAGTAATTTCTAATTAATTAAATGTTAATGAAGATGAGACAAGTGAAAAGGGTCCAATAATAATTTAAGTATAATAACAGTTGAGGTTATTTTTCTGGTGCAAAATAGAATCTCCTTACGATATGTAAGTGCGGTTAAGATTAAATTATTGAACTTAAAAAAATTTAAGGTTTAACGTAAATTACTTTAAACTGATGACCATAAAACTAACGCACCATTCCATTTTCTGCAGTTTTAAGTGTTTCCCGCTTTAAAGTAGGAAAACACTTGGAGGAGTATATTTAATGTTATCTTTACTGTTTAATGTGTAAATGGAGCTAGTTTTTCAGTATTCCGAAGTAAAAGGTACAGTCAGATGGATCCACCGACCCATCCAGCTAACGCATTTTTTAAATCGCCAATAATCGCTGTTTTCGAACAGTGGTCCTCAACCAGTTTATAAATTGGCAAGCGCCTATGATTCAAAAGTTACCTGACTTAACTCAAAAACAAAGAAAATAGGGACGCAATCCCTCTTTCTAAAAGAAGAAAAAAAACTATTAAATTTAACCAACCTGAACAGGTTGGTTAAAAGGCCACGCAATCAGCAACTTGTTGATATAAAATTTCAAAACCTCAACGAGGGCGAGGACAGCTCCTGTAGCCCTCGCCCTTAAGCCGGCCCTGGAAAACAGTATTTTGAAGTTACCTGACTTCACTTAAAATCAAAAGAAACAGAGTATTTCTATTGTGACACGACCATCTGGAGTTGATTAGGCGCGACAATTTTGTAGGTTATATTTTTAATTCACTTTTGTAGGTTATGTTTTTGACAAGTTGTTATGACAAACTGTTTGGCGCCCACTCAGTGACTACAGGATGACTGCTGCCTGATGCACATTTAGTTGGGTCATTGTAAACTATCGATGTATCGTAAACATAAATGTATATTCGGACTGCTGGCTTTTTTGTCATTTATCGTGCACCAGTTCCGTGTTGAACCGCATCTGTGTACGTACGTGACCCAGCTGTGTAATCCACCTGTGTAATTATTGTGATATATAATTATAGTTGTTCTAGTATCATGCTATTTATTTAAAAAATATTGAAAGTTATTTATTTTTATAATGTTGTACATGTTTTCTTAATATTTTGTAATTATCGCCGATTCTTTGGACATTATTTTTGTGTAACTTTATAAAATGTTTTATAGCTACCACATAATAAGTGTTGTATAAAAAAAAATTGCCTTGTTTCATTTATACCTAAAACCTTATAAACCCTACAAGTTTCATAAAATTTAGAAAGAAAAACTGGATAAATGCATACTAAAATAGGCGGTAGGTATTTTTTATACATTTTTACTTAACTGCCCAATAATTTAATGCATCCAACACAATCTTTCAAAATCTATTCTAGTCTGTTTATTCTACTATTAAAAAAAAATTTTTCTATTTTTAACACCCTGTATGTGGAAAACTGAGCCGTTGCGGACCCATATTTACATGATTTTTTTCTAGCAAATCGGTCCGATTCATTTCTTACAGTTTGGGCACATACTTAATTAACACCCTGTATATGACTGTTATTCACATCTAACTTATAAACTCATTGTTCGCACATTTATAGTCTGTCCGGCAAGTAACAGTGGAAAAAAGATTATAGATTGTAAAATTTTAAATTATACCGTGATCGAGAACGCATTGTGACGTCATTTAGTGCGACTGAGAACGCAACTTGCTTGGCCGTCTGTTTATATTTATTATGCTGGCAAGACGGAGCCTGATCTAAAAAAAAAACGCACAGGTGGGGAGCTAATCACGTGCCTGGGCGAGAGAGAAAGATTATACCCAAACTTTTTCTTTCTCTCTCTGTCACTCATCTACACTATCTCCTTAAACGCCTTCTTTCATATAGTATATGCTCTAATGCGCCACTAGACTAGATTGTCAAAAACCAACAGCATTAATGAACAGACCTAGTTTTCCCTATAAGAGTAATTTTTTTAATTGATTATAAAAGAAATAGAAAGAAGATGACCCCCGTTGTTCTCCTAAATTTATAAGACATTTCCATGGCTGTTCCACTACGATGTAACAACACTAGGAATTTACGAAAATTAACTCGTAGTGATCTAGACATGTCGTTCTCTTTCTCTAAAACCATAAGAATGACAAAGATAAAGATAGTTATCTGAGCAGTCTAAGTGAATTTTGGAAAACGCCTTCTATGTTTCATGCTCAATTTTCTGTTGTTCAGTGGTCTGTGACATGTTCGCGAAAAAGTGCAATACCTTGTTTGTTGTTTTGTGATTGCCGCCATTGCAATTAGGAAGTTGTGGTGTTTGTGTTGATATTCTATTTTGTAAATGATTAATTTCTAAAAGTATAAATTTCTTCCTCGACTGACGAGCAACAAAAACTTTTTATATTTTATATTGCAACTGTTACATATTTGTCAACATTTTGTGGTTAAGTGCATACCTGGGTACCCATTATGAAAAAAACTGCTAATTTTAAAGTAGGCGACAAAGTATTTGCCAAAGTTAAAGGATATCCTCCATGGCCAGCACATGTAAGATATAATACGAATATAAATATTAACATGTTTTACTGTCGATAATTTCTTTAGGTTATTGCTGAAAATGGAAAGAAATACAATGTTGAGTTCTATGGAACTGGAGAAACGTAAGTAAATATTGCATATAAAAATATTGTACTGTGTGGGCTAAAAAGCTGCGGAAAGTTTCAAATTAACTTTTAACGTAGTAAAAATGTAAGCCCTATAATATTATAGGAACTAGCCGACAGCCTTTTATGAAGGTAAAGGAGGTTGTGCGATAATTCCTAACAAGAATTGTTATTTTTTCATGAGTAAAATTTTATAATATACTAATGATCTTATTATTTCAGTGGAGTGATTAAAGTGGAGGATCTTTTTTATTATTTAAGAAATAAAGACAAATTCCAAAAACCTTTAAAACGTAAAGATTATGTTGACGCCTTTGAGCAAATAGAAGAAGCCATAAAAGAGGATGGTGGCGATGGAGATACTTCAGTTGACGGCGACAATTCGACAAATAGTGTGAATAATGTAAGAAGTTATTAGGATATAAATTCAGAACTATTTCAATATTAACGATTTTTTCAGGTATCCTCCAATAGTTCAGTTAATTCGCTAAATTCATCCCAAAAAGGGACTAAAAAGTCGGTTAAGAGGAAACGGTCAGTTTCCGATAAATCTGTCGCCGATGCTGGATCTCCAAAAAAGAAATCTCAGAAACCTGAAGAGGGTAAGCTGTTTCTTTACGTGTTCCTTCTTGACTGTGAGATTTCATTTAAGTTTTAGATAAATCGGAGAGCGAGTCGATAGAACAGTCAAAATCGGAACAACCAAAAACGTCTATTTCCAAATCCTCGCCCAAAGTAGTTCATGAACCCGTTTCTAAAGAGTAAGTGTCTATTATAAACTTTACAAATGACGATTAAACGTATGAGACTTATTCTGCATGTGTTCATAAAAAATGTTTGTAATATAATTTTTTTAGGATTGAATTCGTTCCGATTAACGACAGTTTGGAAAATGTCTCGGAAGAGACTGAAACTAATGAGAAACAAAACGACAATGAGAAATCTGAAATGTTAGATTTCAAAATTGAAATAGTGTCGGAAAAGTCTTTAAAAAATAATATAGCATATGTAAGTTTAAAAAAAAAATTTTGTGTACTTGCAATTATCGTTTTTGTTGCATTTTTAGGCTAATTACGTTAAAGAAAAGGAATCAATTTATAAAGGTAAGAATATCCCAAATCAATGTAACGATTAGTATATTTGCTAATATTTTTCTACTAGTATTAAACTCTCCTCAAAATAAGAAAAGAATTCTCGTAAACGTGGATTGCGAAATGCTTGGTATTTTTTTAAATTTTAGTTCCATTTTTTTTTCTTATTTTGAGTAATTCTAACACCAGGTAAAGCGTGACTTATTGAGAACTGCTGGAGTCGAGAGGGAATGACACTTCACTTTTTAACAAGTCACTTTACAATCCATTTGTTGCCACCCGTGATTGGAAATGACCGGTATCATGTACTCTTCGGATGAATATTACAAATCTTACGGTGTTTGATGAATGACGATGGCAACATTCTTGTACGTAACGCTCTGCAGCTGCATTTTGTCAACATTCACCGTATATCAATATAAAATATCCACCAATTCGTGACCATTCGCTGTTGCATTAAATCATTGTTAATAAACGTAACACTCAATTAGATGTGAAAAACCATTATTAACGGTGCGATAAGGTAATAAAAGAACGATAAAAATACTTTTTCTGTCACTTCTAGGCAATTTTTTCTTGCTAATTTGTAGCCACTCGTGATTCTTCCAGGTAAACCCGTAGAACCCAGAGAAGACTACATAAGTCAGGTCCTGCCGGTGAAATTGCCTTCCGGAATAATGGGCGGTCTGAAACTGCACACAGAGTGGCCCCTGAAGTTCGAATTCGAGTACGACCGCGCTCTCTACGACGAATCCGTGGCGTCGCGCATCCTGGAAGAGAAACAAAAAATCGAGGCAGGAAACACGAGCGTTACAACCAACCACCAGCTGTTCATTCCAAATATCGAGATGTCCGCCGACGACGTCACCGAGATCCTATACCAGAAGGACATCGAGGCGAAAAAATCGAGGATCGACAGGTTGAAAATCGAATCGGAGCTCATGTGTTTCGATTCGAAGATTAAGAACTGCCTGGGTCTTGATAAGGCCGATCCGCAACAGGCAATTTGCTACTTGGAGTCCATATACAACACCAGCTTCGACGATCTCATGTTGATAAAGCACCCGCACGTGGTGGAAATGGTGAGGAGGCTGCGTAAATACGTCGGGAACACGAAGGAGTGGAACCTCTCGGAGAAATCGTTGAGCGAGTTTTCCGCGCATGCCGAGAAGGTCAGGGCGAAAGCGGAACAGGTCTACTCCAAGTTCAAGGTAAGGTTTTTGTATTATTTTTAGCATTTCTGCTGGCATTTCCTTAGAAACTAAAATTGACAGTTTATTTTTTTTTAAATTAAACCCATTTTTTTCAAGCAGATTTCCTGTTAAGAGTTATCGACATTCCAGCATTGAACTTTTGTTTTAACCACCAACTTTGAAATCTTAAATTGGAATCTATTTTTTATTACAGATTCAGATTCTACGGTTATAGTTCAGGAAAATAAGGAAAAAATTTGCGAACTTTTTCTCTCTAAAATTTTTTTATAGAAAAATATAGGTTTTGAGGTCAAAAAACATGCGTTATACACGTAACCACCAAAAACATACAGCGTTTTGAGATATAGACATATAGGTATATGATTTTTAGGGTTTTTCGACAAAAAACTGCCCCTGTCTTAATGAAAATCCATTTTTTCAAAAAAGGTTTCAAATAAAAGTTAAAAAAATGTAATTTCCTACAAAATTGCTCTTATGAAATATTTTGGGTTCTCTCCTCCCATATATTTTTTAAATGAAGTACAGATTATGTGAAAATTAATGTTTTAGAGCCAAAATAATGGTCGATTCTTTTTTAAATAACAAAACTGGCTTAGAGAAAAGAAAATTGCGGAAAATTCTTGGAAAATCTTGTAGTTTTCTGAGGTTTGAACATTTATGAGCAACAAACGTATCATTTTATATATTTTCAAGGGTGTTCATTACGAATTAATTATGTGCTTTTCAATATTTTCCAGAAAAATCTGTTTTCTTGGAAATTTGTAATATAATGAAATTGAAAATTTAAATTTAATGACAATAGGAAAGGAATTTTCTGGAGCTGCAAAAGTATAATAAAAAATATGCAAACATTTAAAGGGTCAAAAGAATTTCTGACATATTTCCGACATTTTTCCGTGATTTTTGACAGACTGTATTTAGGTGAAAAATAGTCGTATCGGGAATTAAAAAATTGCATTTTGAAGCTCTAAGATTCTAGTTTTTAGATCTTTCGGTCGAAATGTTTTAGGAGCTACGGTTATCTTGTCACGGACTTGGAAAATTTTTTTCCAGTTGTCATTGCATGGACCAGATAGCTTGTTTATTCAGCTTCAGTTTCCTTTTTTTTAAATTTCGATACGACCATTTTTCATCGAAATATCGGACTTTTAATGGAAAAGGATTTCAATTATCGATATCTCGGCGACAAATGGTCGTGCAGAGTTGAAGGGCAGTTTTGAAAATTTCCTATAACGTGCTGCCGCAACTTTTTGGAAAAAAAATGTTTTTCATCTTTTCCATGAAAAAACGGCTAAATTAGAAATATTCACGAAATGACTTAACGTTAAGCATGACTATTACAGTTCGATATACCCAGAAGAACCCTATGAAGTTTCATCTCGATCTAACAAACTGTTTGTTTGTTTCCATCAAACATTTGAAAAAAATTAAAGGGTCACATTTTTTGAGCTTAAACATTTATAATCATGATTAAAATGGAAAAATTTTTTTTTTGAGGTTTTCTCACATATTTTCTGCAAATAACGTTTAAATTGATGAAAAAAAAAATTGAGGTTTTCGAAAAATTTTTTTAAATTTTGAGTTTTTTTGATAAATGTTCAGGACATTGAAGAAAACAAAATCCAATGGATTTCAGCACGCCTCGACTTTTTCATCCTATGCTTCTGTTCATTAACTTTTAATTAAATTAAAATTAATGTTAATAAATGATAACCCAAATCAAATTTCGATCCCAATTCATACCGTTTTTTGAGACAAATTTCTAATTAATTTTTGTGCAGTCTGTAATCACTTGAAACAGTTTTTTTCAAAACTACTCTTTTACATCTCTGAAAAAAATTTCATTTTTTTTTATCAATTTGAATTTATTTGTGGTAAAAATGTGAGAAAACTCCAATAAAATTATTTTTTTTTTTTCATTTTCATGATTATGAACTGTTTAAGCTCAAAAAACGTGACCCTTTAATTTTTTTATTGGAAATTTATTCCAGTTCTTGAAACTGCCGTTCAAGTCTCTGTACGACCGAAAGAAAAGCGAAAGAAAACTTCAAAATGCTTTTTTTTAATTCTCGATACAACCATTTTTCACCTAAATACAGTCTGTTAAAAATCACAGAAAAATTTCGGAAATTCTTTTGATCTTTTAATTGTTTGCATTAGTGTATATGAATATATTTATTTATTTATATTAACAATTTTTTATGGACTTCCATTTCTAGATTTGTTATGTACAACTGCTTCATTGCTGTCACAAAAAAATTTCAAAGAAAACAGGTTTTATAAAATACGTCTGATGCTCGTAAATATTCAAACCTTAGAAAACTATATAAGATTTTCCAATAATTTTTCACAATTTTCTTCTTTCTGATTCACATTTGTTATTTAAAAATGAATTGACTATTATTTGGCTCCAAAACCTTAATTTTCACATAATCTGTACTACATTTAAAAAATATACAGGCAAACTATAGGAAAAATTGAAATTTTTCGTAGAAGCAATTTTATAGGAAATTTGATTTTGAACAACTTTTATTTGAAACATTTTTTCAAAAAAATTGTATCATTGATATATTGGCAGTTTTCGAAAAAAAAAAAACAAAAAATCATATAATAATAATAATTTTATTTCCTCTGACAAAATACAAATTTGTATAGGAATTGTCAAAATAACTGCTTTACGAACTAAATCATAAAAAACTCGTCTAAAGTATAATAACAACTGTCGAGTAAAAAACCTTTTAGGACATTTTTAAAAACTTTTAAATTTTATGCATGCATGCTATATATATATATGTCTATATCTCAAAACGCTGCATCTTGCTGGTGGTTGTGCTTGTGACATATGTTTTTTGACCTCAAAACTTACACTTTTCTATAAAAAAATCTTAGAGTAAAAAAGTTTGCTTATTCCGTCTTTTTATGTCTAACGTTCCTGGACTACTGAAAGAACGTAGTATTGTCTGAAACATATTTTTTCGATTCATGATAGATGGCACTGTAATTAACAAAATTCAATTTTTTCGATGTCTCCTACTATGAACTTATGCATACGATTCTGCAATAATTTGCAATAAAAAAATATCACGTTTTCACTTGAAAGAATCAAAATTTTGTTTTATTTCCATTTCCTTCTTCTTCTTCTTCTTCTTTTGCTGTCTTTCACCTATGGCAAGCACCAATTTAAAATACATTTCTTAGTTTCTAAAATAACTCGCATGGAACTGTTAATTTTTACACCCTGTATAATTTTTTTTTGCAGACGGTTGTTAAAGTACCTGAAAGTTCCACAAGCTTCTGGGAAGGCTTCACGGACCTAGTAAGTCAATTTAGGACGGACTGCAAAGATCTAACCGAGGGTCAGATATACTTGCTATGCTCCGAACCGAGTAAGAAATACGCGAAATATCGAACGAGCGGCTTATTAAACTTTTCTTATTTTTTTCAGCGTCTCGTAAAACATTCTTGAATAACCTCGAAGAGATCGAATCGGAGAAGGTAAATTAGACATAATGGTATTTTGTATAAAAAATACTGTTTTTTTTTCCGTTGTTTCAGGAGAATTCAAGCGGAGTTGCCAATTCCGAACACGAGGCGGTAAAAGGGGGAGGCGAAACGCCCGCAGCGGAAAGTTAGGGACAGTTTGTGGATATGTGACCTTATGTAAATACGTTTTTCTTTTTTTATCTTATTAATTTTAAGAAAGCGCAATTTCAATTCCTCAAATCGGAAATTGTAATTTATTTTTTAAATGCCAGCCAGCATGAAGACATGAAATCACTTATATCTATTTTTTAGATGAACCGTATTCGTATGTTCAATTAAATTTCAATAAAGTAATAATAACCGAGTATCGCAGTTTTTTTTTAATTACCGGCGGACTCCTTAAAAAAAATCATTCACTATAGTCTGATCATAATCGATGCAAAGTAATAAATCATTGCCTGTCAAGGGATCCAGTGCAATACGGTTTTAAGGGGTTTAGAAATTGATTAATTTATTTATGCATTATGAAGGGATCAGTTCACATTTGGCACCCCTGTTCCTACAAAAATTCTTTTATTCTCAAACTATTTACTTTAAATGTAATTTATCACTGTTATTTACTTGTTTTTTGGAATATTTGACGTATAACGGACCACTTCGTACACTCGATGCACCTGGACGACTACAGCAACTACTAGAACATAGTGCGTATGTATGTATGTATATGTCGGAGAGTGGTGGAATTGTTTTTCCATCGTGGCACCTAGGCCTTATTAGGCCCCTTGTACATTCTCCTTTATTACTCGAGTACTTTTCTTCAAACCATCCTATTTACTACACGGGTGGCCTGGTGGCAAAGTCTCGTACAATTTTTATGTATGATAGCATGGTCTTGAGTTACAGAGATTTTCTTTGCTCTGTTCTCATTACCATTTATCGGGGACCACATGCATGCGGTAAATGTTGAGCAACCCAGGTCTCTGGTAGGCTGCCACAGCCACGTCCACGAGTCTGCCTTGGGTCACCCATCCCAATTCCAGCCTGCGTCCGTGATGCTTACCTCGGCAGATCGAAATCCACCGACCAAGACACCCGGCTAAGCGGTCCCTTCAGAGCTTATGCAGCGGTCTTTCAGATGTCACATTCAATTTTATTTTGAATTTGAAAAGGTTCATCTTATGCCTCCTAAAAGAGATGACACGATTTTCCTTTGATAAATGACCGACAATTTTTTGCTCTACTTTGCATCGAATATTTTTGAATGACAACCATTTCCCATGAATTTTGCATGAATCTTTAGCCAAATATGATTATTTCAAAAATTATACAGTGTCTATGAGAAAGTTTGAATCACAGACCGAATAGACTGCACAGGCCAGCCCCTCAGTCAAGAACCAGTGACTTTCAAAGTATATGAAGAAAAGAATTAATTTATTTTTCTAATACTCTATCGAAGTACGAATACTTGGTAAGTTTGTGCACCCTTGATTTGATTTTTTTTTTCCAAAACTGGAACCTTTGATAATATTAGTCCCGAGAATTGGGATAATTCCCCCACAATTTATTACCTATGTTATATGATAAATTTAGGTTTTTTACTAAATTCTAATTACATACCTACATTTTTCTGCTTAGATTTTGAAGACAAGTTTCAATTTAGATTTGCGTCTCAAGATACTCGATAGAAAAAAATATTAACATAATTTTTTCATAGTAGTGCTTTTATTATTTATTATTACTCATGACGGATAAGTCCTATATTTTCGCATGTTTTTTAGGTCGGTAACTAACTGTTTGCCCACTCTATTTATTTGCGTGCAGTAATCTTACTTGTTGCACGTGAATTGCCAATAAAACACGCAAAATTTAAATACCTACAGACTCGAAAATATTATTTTTAAAAAGTGGCATTTAAATGACAGTTATTTATGTCAACTTAAACTGAATAAAAATATGTGGACCCCACCGCGGCTTCGCCCCTGGAAGATTTCATTGCATTTGTAATAAAAATTAGAATGTGCAATTCGTGCGGTTGTCTATTGCCCGATTCCGCTCTACTTTCGATTGTTTCGGGCTACTTTCAAGGGCATTTTCAGCATATTTCCCGTGAAATCCATGATATACAAATTGGAGATTTTGTCGTCTACTTTCAGATGCAGTTTTCAGAATTTAAATCGGATCATTTTTGATAAATCGCCACGCTGTGCAAAAAAAGACTCAAATTAGTTTATAATGCAATTGCACAAAAACTATGCATCGGACAGAAACCATCTTGCGCACAATTTTTGTCATTTTTTGCAAGATTGTTTTTCCAGCTTCAAATTTGACGGAGTTATGAATTTTTCAAAAAACGTTATTTTAGAGGTTTTTCCGGATTTTCTCTGTAAAAAATGAACCGATTGGGTCGCACAAAAAACCATTTTATAGGTTTTTTATTCTCTACAAAAGTCCTATTGAGAGTAAGACGATTCCATCATTATTTTTTTCGATACTATAAAAAAAAACAAAAAAATGTATTTTTCTGCATTTTTATTGTTTAAAAAAAAAAATTGTTCGCGACTTTGCTGGGGAATCACTTTGGTTTTCATTTACTAAGTATTTTTCAAAAAGTAATACCTACATGAAATTTGCTGTAATATTTAAGTGTGCATAAAAAATCTCTATCGATTGGTCTGTATCAAAATACTCGATATAAGAAATAATCAGGACACTATCAATTTTTCTGAAGATTGTTATTATTGAGTGGACGAGATTTTATCATCAATTATAATCTAATACTGCATGTTAAATACTTTTGCACCAAAACTGATAAAAAAAATTCTACAATTATTGGGGAAAAATATCAACTCAGTTTAAAACTTTGGGGGGGGGGGGCGTTTGTACAGTTGTCTAAAAAAAAAAAAGAAATCAGACGTTTTTAAACAGAAAAGTTTTAATCTTTATTAATTTATTCTGTTTGATCTTCAAAGAGCGAATTCTAAGCAATGCCTTTTCCGGTTCGCAAATAGAAAAAAAAAATTTGGCGATTGCCCCCATCGTCCCCCCTTGTCTGATTGTCAAATGTGTATTTTAATTAAAAAATTAAAAATAAAAGCACCCCAATTAAAAAATATAAAGAAAAATTAAAATTTACATAACTTCCATTTTTTTAATATTGACAATATTTGTTAAAATTAAACATTTTCTTCTAGAAATATTATTAAACTAATTTAATGAGTTAATAATGACGCAGTTACGGCACCTGAATAAAAACTGATCAAAAAACGATATTTAAAGCAAGAAAAAGTAAAAAAAAATTTGCCAAAAAGCTTTAAACTACTTTTTCCATATCATAATATCTATTTAATACATTAAGAATAAATTAAGTTAGAAAACATTAGTTATTTTGAGATTTCGGTCTAACTTCTACTTCTTGGCGATCTTCGCCTTGTACTCCGCCTGTCGTATTCCCTGCGTTCTCTCTCTCTCGCCCTCCGTTCTTCTTCGTCTTTAATTTCCAAACTGATGGGTTTTCTAAAAGGTCTATCTCTTCCACCGAACCTCAACTGGCCAGACTCCTTTTTACCGCCAAAACCGCCTCCTAACCGTCTAGGCTTCCAACCTTTTAGCAAACGTTCACACTCGAAATCTACAAATATCACACTACCATCTACGACCTTTCTATTTGCCAAGCGGTATGCGTCGTCTGCGCAACTTTCAGACTCATATTCTATGAACGCGTATCCTTTCGGCATTCCGGTTACGATATCTTTAACCAATCTGAATCTCCTTAATTTGCCGTATTGTGAAAAAATCTCTTTAATTGTGTCCTTGGTGGTTTTGTAACTAAGCCGACTGACGAATAGTGTGCATTCGGGTTTGCCTTTGACGTGACGATTTGGTACATATTTTGAATGTATTGCTCTCTCTATAGCTTTATCGTGTGGATCTGTGTCCGTGCCGTCGATCGATCCAATTTTTATAGGATCGTAAACTTTTGCAAACTTAGACCAAGTTTCTTCTTTCTAAAATGTAAATTTAAATTACAGAACGGAGACAATAAACCAAATATTTACCTCCTCAGGCATTATTTTAAATGTACCCAAAACTTATAAAAGGAATACATCACTTAGATATTCGTATATCGTTGCTTAAAATATGTTTAATGTTTATTTCTTTCACTCAAAACTTTGAGGTTAAGATGCCAGCACGAAACAAATATCAGGCAGTGGCGGTAGTAACAGAACACTGAACATTGAAGTAACAGGACCATGGACACAGAATACAGATATATATAAATATAAAACCACAAAACTCAAAAAAATATAGATTATGTCAACTGCTTGTAGTGAGCAACCGGAAATTCATGACCAACGTAAAAGGTCATTGTAACTCAAATCATAATCATATTTTAAAGTTCACCTTTTTTGAAGTTCGAAAAACCCAACTGTTTTTTTTTTCAACATATTGGTCGAGTCTTCCCCTCCCGCGCTAGCCTAAGGGCCACCTTAGCAAAGCGCATCCCAGGCTGCATAGCCGCACTACCCTACCCAACCATACCACACATAAACATGACACTACCCCCGGGGTTTACACAGACGAGCCGGCGAAGCAAGAAGAGCGCCAGAAGAAAGGGCCCTAGCCGGCAGGGCCCAGCCAGGACAAAAGGAGGTCCCACAAAGCGCCTACACCGGCCGCATTTGCGGTCGGGGTAGACGACGGATGGGGCCCACCTACGAAGGCTGTCCAGGCCTACACGAGATGAGGCAGGATAAAGAGGGATAATCCCCCTCGATCCCAAATCATTGAGGCCAATTTCTAGCCATAGAATAATGGCGGCGGCGCGGTCGAGTCTGTTGGACATGAGCGTAGCTACAATTTTTGCTTGGGGTGAGCCCAGGACTGCTCTCGCAATTAGCGACTTCGCCATATTTGAACAACATGGTTTGATTTGATTCTCAAAAAAACACGCAATCAGCTACATATGACCGATATGACAAAAATGATAATATAGGATATTATTTTTCTAGAGTGGGGACAGAGCTTCCTGGGGTGGGTCATGCACACCGCCTGGCCTCTCCCTAGCCTGATTAGCTACGCCCATGCTGTTAGACCTTAGATTAGGAAAGAGTTCCTAATCTAAGTGGTGGACTCAACAAACTAAATTCTAAATCTATCTTATAATTCATAACAAGGAAATACTTTTCGAATGAAAAAAATTCTTGTGCCTATACATAACCGTCAATCATAAATATACCTTACATTAAGTTATACTTAATTAAAATTATATAAATATATGTAAAATGTGTATTACTTTCATCGCGCTTTCCTACAATTCATGCATTTTATGTAAAGCATTTATTCTCAGACTGAATCTAATTCATATCTAATATTTTTACGTAAGTAATAACAAAATAAATAAAATGTAAACCATTTCATTTTCCCACATGTATATATGTACATATAATATATGAGTAGAAATATAGATATTGCAAGAAAAAAAATATTAACAGTCTACATTACATTCCAGTCCTAGAAAAAGAATAGTTTATTTTGCAACAAAAGAAAATGACAGTTTCTTGCGAATGAATAAATTGTCTGCGTTAGGGAAGGAAAATAAGGATATTCAATCTCTAGCAGGAAATGTTATTTTTGTCTCAGATATAATTAATTCTATGTCCGATTTAGTCCAAAATGAACTACAATATTCAAATTAATGATTACTTTTTTAATGAGTTCCACATAGGAACACATGGATTTTATTAAAATTGCTGCTGCCACTAAGAAGAACATTATTTGTACAAAAAGTAGGTACCTCTTTGTAAGTTTGTATTTTAATTTTAAAAAAATTACAATTTTAGTATTTTTGCCTTAAGAGAGAAAAAATGTCACATTCATATCGAGCAAGTCCTGAGAACGCATATTTTTTAAGTAAATTAGTGAAAAATTGTAGAAACCAATAATTTTCCGAATAAATTCATCACAATTTTAAATATTATGTGCATCGATCATTATTGGACTGCACACGCCTACTACAATTTTCTTAGGATTTTAAAAGTTTGAAACGAAGAAATACGAGTACACAACAATGTAGTATGTAGTTATTTATTACCTTTATTGTTCCCTCAAAATAAAATATAGTGAATAGAAAGGCGTTTTAAAGTATAACATTACTGCCAATTCATACATTTTTCACTCTTTCTTTCAATAAATGAACCAATGACGGAGTAAACACATGTTGCCTGCAATCCCGTCTTACAATACTACATGGAAATATACTTTCGCTACTTTCCCATCTCTCCCTTAATTCAGACCAAGTTTATAAATACATCCGATAAATTCTTTATACGAATATTCTTTGTTTATCTATGGTGCACGCCTATTAGTGATTGAGTACTGATATCTCAAAGGTAGGAGATAATATATTTTTTTAAATAATCGGCCGTAGATTAAGATTTTTCTTAGATCGAAAACAATTAACTCTCCGAAATGATAGGTTTTTTAAATAGGAAAATAAGGATTGAAATTTTATTTTCGAAATTTCTTTAAAAAATAATAACGCCTATGGATGTTTTAAGATTATGTTATATGGTAAGAATATGCTTAGATTTTATTAAAAAATTTCTTTAGAAAAAAAGATATTAATCGGGCTATACAGAATTAAAAATCTTTTCAAAAAACTGAAAATTCAAATTCCGACATTTTTAGGGGATTTCCCCAAAGACGATAAAAACAATAAACCATTTTCTGCAAGCTTTTTTTTGTTTTTATACATATTTTGTACCCAGAGAAAATTTGTAAGTTTTAAAATATTTCAATTGACATGCTTGTGCTATTATTTTGAGTTGCGAATCTTGTGTAATTTAAAAATATTTCGATATTAATTAGATAGAAAAATAGCAGGGTATAAAATTAATAAATTTTCCTATTAACATCTGTCTGAAAAAGGATATTTTTTAAAAAATCGCAGGTAGATACTTACTTTTTTAAATTACAATAAAAAAGGCTGAAACAATTTCATTCAAATTTGATATGCGCTTTTAGTTTTTATTTGTCCAAAAACATAAACAGTTTTTTTTAGTACAGGGACATGGCGGGGCCGGTAATTTTCACCAGTAATATTTTTTTCTTTCAAGTATTTAAAATTACATCCAATATTCTCATTTAGCTTTAAAAAAATGTGTTTTTGCTAGTAAGATGCACCGCTTTCAAGATAAATGATAGAATGTCATTATTTTTTAATTACTGTATTGTCGGAAACAACTACTCTTCGAACTACAGCTCTCTATCAGTAGATACAAAGCAACGCTTTGCATCAGTAGGCATTGAAAAGCATTGACAAATCGACAATTAAGATGTAGTATACTGTATGTTATATTTCACACATACGTAATATTATGTTATTATTTTTTGCAATTTACTGTTTCTCGAAAATTAAGCTGAGTTTCTGGACACATATCTGTAGGATCTTTCTTATTAATTTACGACAGAACTGAATAGATCGATGGCAAAGTTAAATTAAAATTGGTGTAAGGTGTCGAAATGTGTGTTTCTATGTATTTTGTATTCAAAGTTAATATTCACCCTCTTAACTTCTTTAACGCGTAAATAAAGTAAATTTCACCTGAATTTAAATATAATAAGATATACTTACCTGAAAAGAAAAGAGTAAACCTGGATGTGATTACTGATTACTTGATACATATTTGTATGTATATCATTTTGTAAACAATATAATATAATCCGCAATGAAAGTGCGGCCTAGTTAAGCCAATAAATAAATCGGCTTGTATATAATAAACAGGAACTGTTAGATAAGGAAATTCAGTAGCGCATTGATCTTGGTTACTGATTGTACGTCTTAGTATAATTATTTACAGAATGCAGTAGGTAATTAGCTAAATGCATGCAACAAATTGATCTATGCGGTGAAACTATGTTTTCAATTCCAATGTTCCAATGTATATACTTCAGTAGTAATTATAACTTTTCATTTTGTAGGTATTCATTCCAATTTTTTACACTGTCAAAACGCACAAAAATTATTAAACCAGTTTTCTAGCCAACGGTCAACCAACAGCGGTCGAGATATTTATTACGTTGCGTAAACCCCATAAAAAACTTATTTCTACTTCCAATTTATGATTTGTTGCAGGTGCCAAAGTCAAAGAATTGATTAAATGCGCTTTCAGATAGAGCTGACAAAATAAATGATTAGAGGCAAGCCCTGATATGTATTTTATTATAAAATCGGTTAAAACTGGGTGCTAGTACTTTCTAAATCGAGTTTTTATTTTACGCGCTTCCAACTAATAACTTGCATTTAATAACTCTTGCACTCTTGCATATTAATAGATCACTTTCATCTACACACAACAAAAGAATAAAGAGACTATAAAAATGCGTGATCATGGATTCTACTTTTTTGTTAATGAAGATTATTACTCTTAATATTTTCTGTTGTCTAAACTGAGTGACTGCATGTTCAGTATAATATACTGTGGTTTAAACAAGTAAAATTTGTCAAGTTCATTTACAGGGTGATTCAGACCTTATCAAAAAAAATTGTATGTACAGGGTATGTTTACAAATACAATTTTGTAAAAAAAAATCAAAAAGGGCAATTCGAAAATGATTTTAAAATATACTTCTGCACGGTACTGGAAACTGGTCCACTGTAAAACCTGACCTACCGCAAGGCAAAGCATGCAGTCAATGCAATCGGTGATCGGTATGGCGACAAAATGTAATAAAAAATGAACGGACAAAAAATTGTAAGAATTTCTTTCCCATCGAAAGAAATACATAAAATTTTATAACGCCTACTTTATATCAACAAATTCAACTGCTTTTGCCGCTATGGTTATTATTAATTAATAAAATTAATTTGCGGTTTTAATTAATAGAATAATATGACGTTCCTGATACATTTGTGCCCGTCTTACCCAGTTTCTACGAACTAACACAAATGTTGTCTTGCTTCACTATAACACAACTGTCTTGCTTCACCATAAATTAAAACAATATCCTTCAACTCCCGAGTTGCTATACACATAAGCCATTCTTGACACTTGAAAAACTAATGTAAACACTATCACAACTATAATACTAAAATCGGATTTCAGTATTCGGAATCGCCTGGAGTCACGCTAGAGACTACAGTAGCCCAGCGATGTAAAGGTTGAAAATACTACAACTTATGGATTTTATAAAAAAAAATTTACGTTATTGACTCCATTTTTCATGATCCAAATTTTTTTGGATAAGTTGTGAATCACCATGTATTTGTAACACGATATATACGATTATTTGTAGTAACAAAATTGTTATTTTTCGCAAAAGCAATACAATCTGAAGAAAAAGTTATGTTGTTGTCACAAACTTAGAAAAAAATTGTACCTACCTATATTTGTGATGACTATGACAAGTATATTTAAACGAAAAATAAAATTCGTTACAAACACACAACGACTCACTTATTTAGGCATAGAATACCTGAGACAGAATTGTAAAAAGGATTTCGTATTAAATTTTTCATTGAAACTTGTTATATCCGTATTTGGATATATTAAAATTCACTTTCTATAGATATTATTTCAAATATACATGCACTTTTTTTTTAATTGCCATTGTTTAATTTTGATTTTTTGGTATTCATACATTAATGGACTATTCGTGGAACAACGAAGGATGCGACATCTATTATATTAATTTGAAATTACTCTAATAGGGGAACTTTCACACTCTCAGTGTTATCGCTTTGTATTTGAATTTTTTATGCTTTTTGGCAATATCCGTTAATTGCCTCGAGGAAAAAGTAAATTTTTAATATGGAGCCTGGGAAAAGATATCGATTGTATAGTGCCACAGTGCAACAACGTCGTACACATTGCATCATTTTACATTTCCAAGGAGAAAAAAAACTGACAAAGATGGAAAACAAAAGTAACGACTGATAAACGACCTGTCAAAGTGGCACTAACGTATTTGCAATGGGAATACTGTCCTGTTTTACAGTTACGAATACACAAAAATAAATGCTCTGCTCTAAACAAAGAAGGCCACTTTTGATTTTTCCTACACCTATAATGTATGGCAAAATATCTAAGAGCTATGAAGGGAGAAGAGTTGAGCGCGCGCGCCATTATTCCATGGCTAGAAATTGGCCTCAATGATTTGGGATCGAGGGGGATTATCCCTCTTTATCCTGCCTCATCTCGTGTAGGCCTGGACAGCCTTCGTAGGTGGGCCCCATCCGTCGTCTACCCCGACCGCAAATGCGGCCGGTCGCTCTTCTTGCTTCGCCGGCTCGTCTGTGTAAACCCCGGGGGTAGTGTCATGTTTATGTGTGGTATGGTTGGGTAGGGTAGTGCGGCTATGCAGCCTGGGATGCGCTTTGCTAAGGTGGCCCTTAGTCCAGCGCGGGAGGGGAGGGGTAAGGAGGATATGGGGGGTGTGTATGTGTGTGTGTGTGTCGTTGTCTTCGTTTCTTGATCCTGGCTGTCTCTGAAACAGAAAAGGTTAACGGGCAGGGGGGGGGGTCGTTGGGTGGTCACCCAGGGTCAAAAAGTTGGTGTCTAGGTCTTTTGTGTTTGTCGGTCACGTCGGGTACGTAGTCAACGGCTTGCCTGAGGAGGGTATTGTCATGTCTAGCGGCTACGTCAAACCGTTTCTCCGCGTTTTGTCTTATTGTCTGTGTAGCGTTTGTGTATGTAATGACTTTAAGTGGCTTTTTGCCGCGTGACCCCACGTCGTGGAGGCGTAGGTTAGCTGCGGTTGAAGTACCACCTTGATAAGCGTTCGCTTATTCCTTAATCAAGAGTTGAGCGTCATAATAAAAAACATTTTAAAATACAGTAATCACGTCCTCTATATTCAAAATTATTACTTTTTCCTGCTAATCGAATAAAAAAAAACAGCACCAATGCTTGTTTTCGCCAATTTCAAGATTGAAGTAATTAAGGTTATGTAATAATTTTCTGACCAACTCAGAATTACAATTGCGACTGTTAGATATTCTGTGCAGGGAACAGTGAACTTCCGTTCTGCGCTTAACTTGTGCAGAGTTGTCTTTGTCTATGGTGCAGAGTAACAGATCTTAAAACGGAAACGTAATGGCAACGTTGTTGCTATAATCCAGCGGTTCCCAAACAATTTCTTGGTCATGACCATTGATTATATAAGCTATATCTAATGCCATGACAGAATAGAAATTACAAATAGAAAAATTTCTATTACGACGCAATTAACAAAATGTAGTTATTTTTGGCACTTTGTAAACAAGATATGTATCTTTGTCTTTTCATCTGCTGCAATTAGAACTTACACTTGTGGAAATAATCTGTCTTTTTTTATTCCAGATGAAGCGCTGGTTGAAGTATCTTTTCATAGCAACAATATTTGGATTCGTGAAAGCTCACCAATTCATAAGGCTAGTTATTTTGGCTAGTCTGGGTTTGGCAGGACTGTGGATGGTCCACACACTAGCCCAAGACTATAACAAAATACAGACTGGCGGAGGAGATGCTACATCCAGTGGCGGAGATACCAGGATCTTTAAAAGATCGGTCGAAGCGGCTCAAAGCCACCGAATTGATTGGGAAACGATTCTATCGAAAGACCCGGCAAGCTGCACGAGGAGCTTTATCTGTCAACTGGCTGCAACCGATAGGGAACACTTGAGCAAAGAAGAACTGTTGATGTTGGAATTAAGCAGGTAGGACTTAAAAAAATTAAAACATCATTCTACACGTCACATTGAAACCTCTAGAAACATACAGGGTGTGGCGTCTTTAATGCAGAAAAAATTGAATACATGTTCCTGGGAATACACATAATAAAAAAACGTTATGGCCCAGACCCCTGAGCCGTAATCCAACCGCCGCGGCACTCTGATTGGCAAAGGAACCCTGTCTGGCTCCTAGACTATAGTGCACGTGCAAATTAGAAGGTTATTGACCTAGACACAGGTTAGCCTAGGTCGGAAACACGTACCGTGTTGTTTATTTGTCTCCGTCCGATTGGTTTTTTATCTTCTATTACTTACAGTCAATATTTAAATACTACATACATTTCACCCTCTCTTTGTAATTTATCTAGTGAGTGTTGGTTTTTTGTCATTATTTCTGTTATGAAATTGAAATGGTTATGAAATGAAATTTAAATTACTTGAACTCTTGAAGTTTTGTAACTTCAATATTAAATTTTATTTAAAGTGAAACACAGCTAATTTCTTTGCAGCCATAATAGTCACATTTGGTCAGATGAAAACCCGCACACTACTCGTCGGTTTAGCTTTCAGAGGAGATTCGGTGTCAATGTATGGGCAGGTGTATTTAGCGATCGTTTAATTGGGTCCTGAATGGGCCGCGTTACTTTCAATTTTTAATAGAAGGCTTACAGCAAATTAAAAAATTATCACTATGATGTTAATAAAAAATGATTTTTGGCAAGGCATGCTCAGACCTCCTCGAGGTTCTTGCAATTACAATTTGATATGTTGATTGCATAATTATAAAAAATAATTTATAGCATTTTAAATTATTATTGGCTGACGTGAGCAAACCGTTTATTTATTGTCTTTATATGAGCGAAAATATATAAATATGGCAACATTGCATCTAGGGTGCCTTGTTCATATCGTAGCCGTGCGTAAATTGTGAATAACCGGCTGACGTCAGCCGGTCAGTAACAGCCTGAAAAGGGGGTTAAATAATGATTTGAAAATATTTTTTTCAGCTTAAATATGCATTTAATTTTTTTTTAATCACGCCATCGTATTATACTCATTTTTCTCTATCTGCTCTTAAAATTAATGACATTATGACTGAATCACCCTGTATATTATTTTATTTCATTTGCCACCAGGAATTTGTTTTTAATTCTGGATTTACTATGGCATAACATCCCCAAAATCGTCACAAAAATTTTTGTATGGATGAACCTAGTTTTCGAGAAAAATATTTTCCAAAATTCTAATCTGGACACTTCACAGAACACTACGTACTGCAGGATACTGTGTACGTTATGTAGTTTTCAAAATATCTGTAATGAACAATAAACGTTATTCAAGAAAAACATTTTCGCAAATTTCAAGTTAAAAAATATGTATTTAACAATCCACCATTTGGAATTCGTAATGTCATTGAAATTTCCCCACTTTTTTTCATCTGTGTTCGTTTTCAGTGAACCAAGATAATTTTTATTTATTAAATACATATTTTTTAACTTGAAATTTGCGAAAATGTGTTTCTTAAACAATGTTTACTGTTCATTACAGATATTCTGAAGGCTACAGAAAGTATAGTGTCATGCGTAGTGTTTTGTGAAATGTCCAGGTAAGAATTTTGAAAAAATTTTTTCTCGAAAACTAGATTCGACCAAACAAAAATAACATCAGATTCGTGTTCAGCACCCTCGAAAATAGGAACTTAGAAAAAAATTTTTGACGATTTGGGTAATAGAAAATAATAATTACCTTGATTTTCTGCATTAAAGACGTCACACCCTGTATGTCATAAATAAGTTTGTTTTCTCATTAATTACCACTTTAAACTTTACTACGAAATTAAACTTGTAACACAACACTGCACTATATAAATTATATTTTGATTCCAATAAAATCTAACACTTCACGCAAGAAGTCCAAAATTGCTAATCGTATTACAAACACCTCTTAAACCAATAAAATGATAACTAAAATGTAAAAAAATGGAAGAGGTGACATGTTCGGCAAATTAATGTTGGTCGTTTATTTTTTGCCCACGTAATGTTGTCATATCTCATCAGGTGGATTGATATCAAGCAGTTCACCTAAACAAGGTCAATGTCAGAGGTCATTGACACCGAGATGCACAAACTGAACAGTGTTTTTAAAAAGATATAATCAAACTCTTATTAAAAATTTTAAATGATTATAACTCGATTCTGATTAAAAAAAAATAGAATAGTATTCTTAATCCCACTCCCAGTCGATATAATATTTGTCAAGATAGAATTCCAAGAAAAGAATAAGCCAATAAAGTTCTGTTATGAGAACTACTGTAACAATTTACCATGGCAGTGGCGTGCCTTAAAATTTTCGGTCAATATCTTTGTTAAATGCAGTTAATTCCAAGAAAGTGATGCAGGGATCTTCTTCAAATTCAACCTCAACACATTTTTTATGGACTGTGCATAATTTACGATTTTTTTTTAAATTTTGATGATTTCAAGCGATTTTATTTAGGGATACGCTAGAAAAGGAATCGTGGGCAAGTAAAGAGCTACAAGAAGCGATAAACCACGGGCAAAAAGTTAAGCAGCCAAATCAGTGCATGAAAATTTACAAGTACTGCCCGTTTACCAGCCAGATGATGTTAACGTTATTGAAGATGTTCAGCAGATAGTGAAAATCGTAAATCGTTTGTACCTATGGAAACTTAGTAGGTATTTTTGATATTTAGAATTGTAAATACGTTTATGTATATTTAATATTAGAATTAGAATATGAAAGGTGTGATATAAGGTAAATAATACAACTTTTTTTTACGTCATTGTATCTATCGATATAAATTATGGTAGTTGTGTAGTAACGCATACATTTATCCTTACATTTACAAATGTAATATAGAATAATTTAATTAACGTAAAATAAATAATCATGAAATAAATAATTTATACAAAAAAAAAATCCTTTTAAATTAAGCAAATATGCGAGACAAACACATAAATAAACCGTGAAGAAAAGATGTTACACATCAAAAGGTATACATTTTTAATGAAATACGAAATATCACTTTTTCCCTTTTTTATTTTTCTGAGGAGAAGGCGACTCCCCCGCAGCTAACTGCAACTGATTTTTTAAAGACAACAGTTTCTGTACCTCCGGTTGCCATATCGATTTATCCGATCCCCCTTCTTTTAGTTTTCTTACGATCAAACCCTGAAAACAATTTTTCGGTACTTGAAGTAATCGAAGAGTGATATTAGTATAGGCCTGGAAAAAGAGCTGGGAAATGGACATTTCGCAATTTTTTTGTTTCAGCAAGCTCAATTTATCACTATAGATGCTAAATATTATGTACAATGACACATTACTTTCCATAGTCATAAAAATGGGGGGAAGATTATTTACAGGGTGATTAATTGTATAATTTTTACGTAACTTCACGTTTTTCGCTTATAACTTTTTCCGTTCATTTCCACGAGAAAACAGTAAAGTACTTTTTTTTCATTTTCAAAAGACCTACAAAACTAGGCCTCGAGCATCAAAAAATATTTATTAGACCAAAAGTTATAAACAGAAGGACTTTATTTATGACTTTTGAATTAAACGTTTATAAACTGCGTTATTATTACCAGAACGTTTTGGCATCGCATCCTTTCATTCCTTATCACTGTCTAATAAAACTTTGACTTTTTTATAAATCCTCAAATTTTTTCAGTGGTGTTTTAGTTTTTAATTTTTTTTTTTGATTGAAAAAAAATTTTTTTTCAAATTTAGCTTATTTCACATACCATTTTGAAAATTTTTGAAAATGTTTACAGAATCCCAAAATTGAAAAAAAATATATGAAAGAAATAATTGAAAGTGATAAAAAAATGTCAAAAGTTTTTTATAAGAAAAAAAAAAAAAATTCAAAAATGGTAATCGAGAAATTTTAGATTTTTTTCAAAAATTGAAAAAAAAAACAGTGAAGATAGGTCCAGATAACTTTGATCTATTTTCTTTCAAATAGTACACTTAAAAACAAAAATTTTGAAAAACAAGACCTGATAACTCAATTTTTGAAAAAGAAAAGGTTATTTAAAAAAAAATTCATATTTTTTTGAGTTGGGTGAAAAAAAATTGAAAATATTCGCAGAGGTTTTCAATGGGGTAGAAAACAATAAAAAAGTTTCAGCCAAATTGAAAGGGGTCAGGGTTAANTTTTTTGTATTTTTTTTTTTTCGAAAACTGACATAAATCCTCAAATTTTTTCTGTGGTTTTTTCGTTTTCCATTTTTTTTATTGAAAAAAATTTTTTTTTCAAATTTAGCTTATTTCACGCCATTTTGAAAATTTTTGAAAATGTTTACAGAATCCCAAAATTGAAAAAATATATATGAAAGAAATAATTGAAAGTGGTAAACAAGAAAATAATTTCGATATTTTTTGAAGTTAAGAAAAAAATAGATCATTTTGAATGTTTTTTGTATTTTTTTTTTTTCGAAAACTGACATAAATCCTCAAATTTTTTCAGTGGTTTTTTCGTTTTCAATTTTTTTTTTGATTGAAAAAAAAAAAATTTTTCAAATTTAGCTTATTTCACATGCCATTTTGAAAATTTTTGAAAATGTTTACAGAATCCCAAACTTGAAAAAAAATATATGAAAGAAATAATTGAAAGTGGTAAACAAGAAAAAAATTTCGATATTTTTTGAAGTTAAGAAAAAAATAGATCATTTTGAATGTTTTTTGTATTTTTTTTTTTCGAAAACCATCCAAAAACCATCTAAAAACAAAGAAAATGAAAAAAAAAAGGTGTTTTTGGTCCATTTTTGGACGAAGAGTGGGTTTTTAAAAAAAGACATGCAACACATTTGAACTCAAATAAATCATTTTGAAACAATCTTTAGACTTTTTGAAATTGTCATCAATCGCTGCATAGAATAAGAACGATCATAATTAGTGTTTAAAGCCCTCTTTTCCGAAGCAAATAACTGTTCGTCCAAAAATGGACCAAATAACAACTTTTTTTTTCATTTTCTGTTTTTGGATGTAGTTTTCGAAAAAAATACAAAAAATTATTCAATTTATTTTTTTCTACTTTTTCAAGAAAAATTGAAATTTTTTCCATGTTTACCACTTTCAATTATTTCAAAATGGAAGATAAAGTTGAAAAAAAAAATCGAAAATTCTGAAAAAATTTGAGGATTTATAAAAAATGTCAAGTTTTTTATAAGAAAAAAAAAAAAATTCAAAAATGGTAATCGAGAAATTTTCGATTTTTTTCAAAAATTGAAAAAAAAACAGTGAAGATAGGTCCAGATAACTTTGATCTATTTTCTTTCAAATAGTACACTTAAAAACAAAAATTTTGAAAAACGACCTGATAACTCGATTTTTGAAAAAGAAAAGGTTATTTAAAAAAAAATTCATATTTTTTTGAGTTGGGTGAAAAAAAATTGAAAATATTCGCAGAGGTTTTCAATGGGGTAGAAAACAATAAAAAAGTTTCAGCCAAATTGAAAGGGGTCAGGGTTAAAAGTGATCGATTTGGCGTGGAACGCCCCGTATATACTTACTTGTTTGGCTACTTCTTCCTCAAGTTTTTTTATTTCGTCCGGGCTTACCCCATTTTTCACAACCGGAGACTGACCGCCATTTACTACGGGTCCGTTTTTCTGTGCAGCCTCCAACTTCTTCTTCAAACTCAACAGGATGTCGATTTCCGGCTTCCACACCAACTTGTCCGTAGTTTTCGCTTTTAGGGCTCTCACTTTTTCCGCCTAATTCAACAAATTAAAAATCAACCGATTTGAACAAACGAGAGAACCAAAACTTGACCCCACCTGTTTCGCTACTTCCGCTTCGATGACCTTCACGTCGACTTTCCCGTTTTCCTTCTCTTCCTGCTTGCCGGCGAATTTCTTCTTTAATTCCTCGACCCGCGTTAGTTCGATCTTGGCGAACAGAGGAAACGGTTCGCCTAGTTTATGACCGGCGGGAAGATAGGTCACGATTTCCAAATTGCTGGAATTTTAAGGGTTACGCACGAGGACAAACACCGCGAGATCGACTTACCTTGGTGTAATCAGGATATCGGAGGAATTTAACTGTTTGTGTAGGCTCGCGCTGGTGTCGGGCATGTACGGCTGTAACAGCGTTGCCAACAAGCAAGCCAGGTTGCAACAAATTCCGATAACGGCGCCGGCACGGATCCTATAAAAAGGTAAAGGTACCACTGAAAATTCTCTTAGTGATCAGTCACTATAATTTAAAAAAAAAGCATGCATAAGCAGGCGATACGCTCCGTTATCGATATACAAAATAACGTCATTACGCAAACATAATTTTTACCGCTAACTGCAACACTTACGGGCAATTTTACTTACTTTTCATCATCTGACCCCTTGAGTAGCACCCATGGTTGGTTAGCCTGCATGTACTGGTTGCCGTGCCTCGATATCGATAAAATGTGCCTAATACCGTCTCTCAACTTCGCCTTTTCCAAGGCAGCCACGTAACCCTTCAACTCCCTCGTACACAAGGCCAAGAGCGTGTAATCTTCTTCTGTGGGTTTTATTTCTGGAACCGTCCTGTTGAAGTTGTTTTTGGCAAAAACTAATGCCCTAAAAACGTGGCAGTGTTTTATTTTTATGAAATATTAAATGTGTACAGCAGAAAAGATTTTTTTTGTGTAAATTATCTTGAAAATTTACCTATTTATAAAGTTTCCTAAATTATTAAGCAGTTCCGAATTATTTTTCGTCGCCAAATCGTCCCAGGAAAAACTAGAATCCTGCGATTCCGGCCTGATATACAACAGATAAAACCTCCATACGTCGCTTGGAATGCCCGTGTCCTGAGCATCCGTACCGAAAACACCCACTCCTCGGGATTTTGAAAACTTACCGCTTTCGTAATTTAAGTACTCTAAAACAATATTGTTTGTAATTATTTATTTTTAGCATGTTTTTGATATTCCTATCACACTGATTAAAACAGAGACTTTTGAAAAATTTATTGAGTAATGTGTTATCCCAAAACATTATTTACTGGCTTAGTGTGAGATAGATAAGATGTCACACAAATGGACGTAACACTCACACATGCACACATATATGTCACACATACACACATCACACACATACATTTGTCACACTAATACACACCCACACACATCACACACATACACACACATCACACACATACACACACATCACACACATACACACACATCACACGTACATATAAATCATGTCTATTTTTGGATAAACCTCAAGAAAGGGATATTCCATGCCTTTTGTCTACTCTGATCACTACTTTTCCTTAACATAATTCAAGTTTAATTGTCCTCATAATGCGAACATGCAATTTTCTGATGCATACAAAAAAGTATTTAACTCCCAAGCCTCAACAATTTTTTTAGAAGTGTCCTGGTTCTTAGTCTGTTACACCACACTATAAAAACAACAAACAATAAACTCACCCGTTGCCATAATATGCGAAACAGTGGTATAACCTCGATTCGCCCCCAGAAGCATACAGGGGAATAGGACCGAATGGAAAGGCACGTTATCCTTCGCCATGAACTGATACAGGGCAACTTCTGTGCCTCTTTCCGGAATCCACCACTTTAGAAAATCCTTCGTGTACGCTTTACTGATAGACAGGTAACCGATCGGTGCGTCAAACCACACGTAGAATACTTTGTCCCTGAAGCCGTCCAAGGGTACCGGCACACCCCATTTCAAATCTCTGGTAATACATCGAGGCTTTAAGCCTTCCTTGATCCAGGAACGGGCGATGACTTGGGCGTTGTTTGACCAACCGGGGGATGAGATTTTTATCCAGTGGTGCAGCAGTGGTTCGAGCTGAAATTATAAGTGTCGGCACTGTCTCAAATTTACCCTTTTTCTTTTTTTAAATGTTCAAAGTGCCCACAACGGTTGGTTGGCCGTCATTACAGAAAAAACAATAGAAAACTGCAAGTAGGGATCTTTATGAGGTGATGATATAAGTATTTGACTAAAAATTCTCATCTTGATATCTGTGACGTAACCGGAATTATTTTTCCAATTTCATATATATTTTTTATATCCTGTGAAAGTGCTTAACAACTTTTATTAAAGAAGTTTTTCAATATCTCGTTCCACTCAAAATGAATATAAAATGAAATGTATAGAGAAAAACACTGGTTAAATCAAGTCTGTTACTGATTTTATCAACATTGCCCTGGAAAACAAGATTATCTCAATATTATTTTTTTTTTTTCAATTATTTTTGGACAAATTAACATTTTTTAAAAGGATTAATACTCAATGGAAGAGTATATACTGTTATTATTTTTAAGAAACTCAGAAATATTTCAAATTGGCTTTATAGGGACAAATGATTTATCAATAATGATTATAAACAGTGAAAGTACCCTGTTTTCTATGGCAATACTAATAAAATCAGTAACAGACTTGATCAAACCTGCGTTCCAGACATACCCTTTTATATCTTTTGAACGGGAAGAGATACCAAAAAACTTTTTTATTGAAAATTTCTGAAAAAACTAAGAACTTTCATAATAATGTAAGAAAATGTGTGAAATAGGGCAAAATATTTTCTACGACGTCAGTTATTGTTAAAAATAGAAAGTTGCAGTTTTCGTATTGGCTATGGATGGATATTTTGTGAAATATTTACTTTACTTTATTTTACACAGGGTTCATAGTTCAAAAGTAATATACAGAGTGTCACCTAACGAATGTTACATACTTCAAGGGTATAACCTAAAACCCAAATGGTCTCGATTTAACCAAACTTTCTTAAACGAGAAATGTCCCAAAAAAAGTTACAGTGTTAAAGTTTCTTTTTTATTTCTTGTTTTCTCCTTAACTCAAAACCCAGTTAACCGATTTGAGCAAAATTTGCTGTTCTGAGTTTCTCTTCATGAAGTATGCAGTGATTATGTTCCTATTAGGTTAAATCATACAGGGTGTTCATTTTACTACAACCCTTTGTGAATATTCTTTTGTAACTTTTTTGTACGTTTAAATTTTTACACTATCAGAAATTTTTGACTCTCTGACCATCATTTTAAAAGTAAACGACGTTGTCAAGTTTGTCAAAAAAGTAGTCAATGTTTGCAAAATCTGCAACTTCCTGCTTTTAATAATTGTTAGTATGTGTATCACTTTATATTGTGTGTGTGTGTCTTTAGGTTTTTAAGGTGTACATAGTTTTTGTAGATATAGAAAAAGTGTGGTAGGGACAGAAAGAAAATCCACGCAGGATAGAATTTAAGCGGAGAGTGATCGTTGTCAGATATATATTGTATTGAAGACTGGGAAGAATAAAAGTGTTACAATCTGAGTTGTAATTTATTCGCTTCATATACATTACAATAATGAATGACATATTCTAGCAAAACATCGAAAATTAAAGTAAACTTAAATTCAAATATCAACTACTTGTTCATGCTATTAATGTCAACTTTCTTAAATTAATTTTAATTCTTTACGTAATCAATAATCATACAGAAATGAAAAAAATATATTACTTAGTTCAAAAAAATACTTCATAAACTAGTCATTTTTGGATATATCAAAACATCGATCTATTGTTCTCACTAATCTCCTTATTTTCAAAAATATTAGGATTAAAAAATGACCAAATTTTGACCTAAAGAACATTTTATATGTTACAGTGCATTGAAGCTATCTCAATACTGTGATCCATTATTCCGTTATCTTCAGATTTTTCGATTATAACACCAACTTATATTTTATCAAATGGAAATTTTAAATTTTTGAAATCTGTAAAATTTCCATTCCAATGAACATCATTTTCTCAATTCCAGTTTTTTTTAATAAGACATAAAAATGCATTTTTTATCAATTCAAGTGTTTCTTAATAAAGTAAGTGGATTCTATAAAAAAAACTGAACAAAAAACTTGATTAGAAAAAAAAAACTGTATTTTAAAAGCGGACGACGAATCTGAGATGTTTTTCATTAAAATCTTCCTGAAAATTGTGTTCGAGACATTTGAACTACTGATTGTCTATTTCCCTGGGAATTACAAGAAACTCCATTGTAAGTGTTACTATTTAGCAGTACCCCTCTACCTCTGTTTCTAATTGCAAGAATTAACCCCAAAGTCAAATTTTTATGTGGAAGGAGAAGCGGTATATTACTATTTCATACGAGGCATCAAACAATGTATTTTATAGTTCATATTTTCAACTAAAATCACTTAATAAATGAATTAAACCTTTCTATATGGTTACACTATAATAATGAACGCTTTTATCAGTTTGGAAAATATCTCAAAATCTAAACAAAGACATTCTTGTTTTTTTTTATTAGTACTTCCACAACATAGTCTCACAAATTCTTGAATCTTTCACTAAAATTTTTAAAACCATTCATTTTCTAAAGGTAAATTTTTTGAGATTGAAGTAAATTTTATTAATAACCTGTTAAACTCTTGTTATCGTCAATGGCTATGAGTGTAAATTATAAACATAAAAATTATTAAAAACCAACCAATAAACCAAAAACGAACTAAATAATCGTTTGTAATATATCATCTAAAGAAAAAAAATTGCGTCGGAAACATACCTTGGGCAAATCAATGAAGAACTGATTCGACGTCTTCAATTTAGGCGTCTGACCACAAATTTTACACCGAGGATTCTTCAACTCAACGGCATTGACGAGTTTTCCGCAACCATCACACTGATCGCCCCTAGCGTCTTGATAATTACAGCCGATATTCGGACAACCTCCCTCTACAAAACGGTCGGCCAAATATCTGTCACACTTTTCACAATGTAACTGTTCGACGCACTGGGTAAACATAAACCCGTTGCTGTTCAATTGAAGGAACATATCCTGGCATATTCTACAAAAAAAAATGTCAAAGTCAAGAACTAACCATCGTTTCATTAAACTCACTCTGTTTGTTGAGGCGTCGACGTTCTTCCGAAATAATTAAAGCTTATATTGAACCATTTGTAAATATTATCGTGAATACTGAAATATTTGTCGCAGATAGCCTTGCACGATAAGCCTTCTTCCAAGGCCTTTGTCTCCGTCGCGGTACCGTATTCGTCGGTACCACAAATATACAGAGTATTGTAGTTGCAGAGGCGAGAGAATCGTGCAAAAACGTCTGCGGATAAAACACAACCTATTATATTACCGAGATGAGGTACGTTGTTGACGTAGGGTAGAGCAGAAGTGATCAATATGTTCTTCTCACCGGGAGTAGGTACACTACAAACACAGAGAAAAACAGTAGGTACTGCGCAAAATTATAATAAAAACCTAACAAATGATAAGAATTGCAATTGAATTAAACAAATCAGTGACTTACACGATATTTTTTTGATCTTTTAGTGCAGGCAACTGTGTTATGTTCTTTTTCCAGGCTTTTTTAGCAGCTAGAAGCTCCTCGCTGGTTACTGCTTCAATATGGTGTTGAGGCGACTCCTTTTCTTTGATGGGGGCATCACTTGCTAACAACGGAGGTGCCAAATACCTTGCACCTGCTAGAAGAGCAGTATATGCCGTTTGACCGATTTCTATTTTAAATTCTGCGACGGCGTCCTAAGAAAATGTTTTCCAAATTAATTTGTTATCACTGTGTACTATTAAGTATCTTTAAAATGTATAAACATTTAATTTGTTAAGATTAGACTTTCATTTATGCCTCTATCTATTAATTTTGATACATATGTTATGCACAAGCAAATACCAATCAAAATAATTGCACAAATTTGTAGCATTCTAAAGAAATCTAAATATAAGCTATCAACGTTTATCAAAAATCAATCTCTACGTGTATTTATTATTCAGTATTATCTAAAAAAAAATGATAATTCTTTTAATGAGTCAATCAAGCAAAGTAGAACAAATTATCTCCTGGGAATCCCAAATAATTCAGTCCGAATGATGAAATAATCTTTGACATTGACATTGAGAATTCCCTGTGCATTATAATTATTATAATAGATATAAAAAATCAGGTATCAACCTAACAAAACATAACTTTCTCAACATAATGATTATATATTATCAATTATTAAAAAAAAGACTACCTTAAATTGCACTTCATTTTCCAGCCTTAAGAACCAGCCATTTATATTTGGCAAATCCGAGAGATAATCCTTAGAAAGTTTGTCACATTTAACTAGAGGATATAAACAGCTCCATATTGCAACATCAGCAACAGTTACTGAATCCTAAAATTTGAAACGATAATAAAAACTGTTCGTAAATTCAATATCTGACACTTACTCCCACGAGATTTTTCTTATTTTCTAAAACAGTGTTTAACTTCCTAAGAGCAATTAATAAATTATTCCTAATTTTTTCATTCTTTGCGGAATTGCCTAAAGTATAAGCCAAGCAGGGTGACAAAATAGTTGCCTCCCATTCTAATAATTCATTTACAGGAAAAAAATTACTTTCAGAGGCAGGAAATAAGTAAGAAGCTCCTGCATTTGGCATAAATATACTTTGTACATTATTTATTTCTAGCGTAGGCAAAAACTTTGGTTCTGAAATGGTACGACCTACAAGAAAAAGCAGACAACAATCGACTGGATTTCATCACCCAACACGTGGATTTAACTCACCGTCCAGGTTAACTATTGTTATGTCAAGTTTTACTTTGGCCGAAGAAAAATTATTTGCAATTATTAACTTCAGTGCAGCAGGATTGCTGCGGTTAGTATATAATTTTACCATGATTTTAAAAAAGCACGCATTAAATAGTGAGTTATAAATTAAAAAATTTAAAGGTACACAAATTACAAGAAACGTATGTCACGATATCACAACCAGTCGCCTCACCACTCACACCTCAAACTCATGTATTTATTTAACTAATTTCGTAATTTCAAAATTGACGAACAAATTGTCAAATGTCAAATCTGTCATCTGTGAATCGTCGAACGTCGAGGTTGAACTGTAAACTGTCAAAATAAAAAAATATAGGAAATGCAGGCAATTTTCACACAAAAATAGTTTACTTGATACATTTTATATTGCAAATCTATGTATTGTGTCCTTATATTTAACACTACATTGCAGCATGAGTATTATTTTATAAACTTAGCCCTTTTTATTATTAAACATTATTATAACCTACTAAATAAACAAAAAATAAAATTTACATTTTTTTTTATTTTCTAACAATAAAATTATTGGATTATCACTTTTTCGTAAATTATTGTACTTATCCCATACATTTACCTACACTCCTTTTTTATTTTACCTGCAAACCTGTTTCCTGGGCGCATGTGCAAATCAAAAAATATCAATCAGAACGCGTGGGCCGCCATTTTGATGAACTGCTTTGTGTTCAATAGCATCGCAAGTTAAAATATTACTGCAATGGTTAATTTACCCGCGGTAACATAATTAATCAGCAAATATCTCAAGACTTTTCAAGGTAAGTCAGTAGATACCATTTATTTGCATACTTAGCGCCTACGAAGTTTATTAAACAGGTAAAATACAAAAAGTATAATTTTTTAAGCCGCTTTGTGCCAGTGTTTGTAAACAGTTTTTGATGATGCGAAATGTTGATTTATGATCTTTAGGCCTTTAGCCGTATTGTCACGTTAATTGTTTGGATGTAATACCGAGAAAATTTAGTTTATTTGGATTTTTGACAAGGCGGGAATAATTTAGACGCCTACTTTTCGTAAAGAATTATTTACCTCATTGACAAAATCGATAAGGGCCAAATTGGCGTACTGAAACTTTTCAGAAATATACAACTCTTTATTTTTGGCATCTAATATCCGCTTAGAATTATGAAAATATTGGGTTTCAGTTGTACTACCTGAATTACATCATTACTCATTAAAATAAAATCGATATTTTGATTTACAGGTGTTAACCAGACCAAACTATTGAATTCTTAATTACATGTTTTATTGTGGAGGTCGTCTTTGGTTTTATTTCTTTTACACGAAAAAAAAACCCAATGTATTTTCTCGAATAAAAACATTTGTTTTTTCATAAAAATATTTAACTTTTTGTGGACTTTACAAAGATATATATTACTTAATTTAAAAGTATACATATTTAAACACATACTTAACAATTTCTAGAGGTTGGAAATGATAATTTCTCTTCAAAAATTGACACAATTTGAATGTTTATATTCTAGTAATGAAGTTTCTTTGGTATATTAGGCTTTAGTAAAGTGAATATATGTAATTTATGAAATGACTGCAACATTATTAAAAAAGAATTAACTTTAATTATTGGAAGGTATTTATACACTCCTGTGTTTAAGTATTTGCACTTACTAAATTGTAGAGATATTGTTTTGTTAAAATGTCTCGCAATTTTTTTATCACAATAAAACTGGGTAGGTAAATATTAACACTGCATACTGTTTACTTAGTCTATACCGTTGTTACGGACGACTGTAAAATTTCACAAGGATTTTTTTGCAGACCTAAATGGATATGAACAATGTGGCTCCGCAGTGAGAAGCGCAATAGAAGCACATACAAATTTTCACTATGCACAAACAAAAAGGTTAGGAAGGGATTGAGAAAAACGGGATGGATCCCCAAGGCCAGAACAGTCTCTTTATATAAAAACTGCATCAAAAATTCAAAGAGAAAGTTCAGAAAAGAGAAACCTGAAAAATCGGAAAAGTTAGCTGACGACTGCAAAGAAAACTATCAGGCCCAAGTAGTCCCTGAAATCTATGAAGAGGCAAGCGACAATAAAAGCTTGGCCGAAACATTGAACAATGTCTCTATTATTGATATGTCAACACCAAATAAATGTTACGAATATTATAATAGTAATGGGTCCGGCAGTTCCTATGAGAAGCCGGAAGTGCTAAATTCCGATCTTCCTAAAGAGATAGAATATTCGACCATTGAATTAAACACGAGTTTATCGGTGAGTAGCTCGCATACCTTGGATAATGTGAATTACACCGAAAAAATGCAGTTTCACGTGACCGAGAAGAAGTCTTGTGAGTACCAAAAAGACAAATACAATTACACCGTTTTCACCGAAAAAATATGCGAGACTATGTACTACGAGTATCCACCCCTAAAAAATGAATATCAAGATCTGCAAATAGACATAAACGACTTGAATAATGTCAACACCCAGGAATTCACTAACATGCTGGACGAGGAGATGTCTAAGAACATTACCATGGCCAATGTTTACGATTACACCACTTTATATCCGCCTAACATCCCCGACGCTCACATGATCTCTAACTTGCCGTCGCCCGAGGTCGAACGGTTGGACAGACAGCCGGAACATGTCGAAGTGGAAGATACCTGGGAAGCATTCGATCCTTATTTATTTATTAAACATTTGCCGCCTCTCACCTTCGAAATGAGATCAAAGTGCCCCGCACTGCCGTTGAAGACAAGGTCGAGTCCCGAGTTCAGCTTGGTAAGTCTTTTTTAGCAGTTTATTCCACTTTTATATTTTTTTACGGTTTTGGGAGAATTTTTTCATATATTAAGTGAAAACGATGTTCTGTTACTAATTATTTTTCCAACGCAACAGTTAATAGTTGTTTTCTACATGTAAAAACATCTAATATGCACAAAAAATTACATAGGATATGATGTTATGGAATTAACACACTTTATGAATTTAAAACTCCAAAAATATCACAATATATATCCTACATATACAGTGGTGTTCATGCGAGAATGCCACAAATTTTTTTTTAATAAAAAAAAATGGTATGCCACTGACTTTTTCCCTTTTTGATGTTTTTTTAGAAATCTGCCATCAATTCTGAATGAAACTGGTCTCTTCATTTATTTCATAGGATGCATCGTTTTTGAGGAAAAAAATAAAACATTTGGTTTTGTTAAATTTTTAAATTTTCGGATTCGGATCACCCCAAAAAAATGCGCTTTTATCCCTCTAAAGCGTTTTTCAAACTGCGAGTCAATATCTTTAAAATTCTTTAAAATAAATAATAAAAATAAATAAAAAATTAAAATTTAAACTCTCTGTATCTCGGAAACGAAGCATATTTCGGTCTTCATATATATGAATTTTTTTTTACAAAATAATTTGAACAACCACTGCCTAAAATATTTTGCACTTATTTACAAACACCCTGTATTTATCGAAAAGTTGGTATGAAGAATGTCGTAGTGTTAATATCGTAATTTTTATTTTAATTTTTTTCGATAAATGATTTTGTAATTATTAACTTATTAACTTGATATTGATAAAATACCACAATCAACAAGTATTTTGGGGCAAAATCTCTACTGCCAATGTTGAAATATACAGGGTGTAACACCACGAACTTCATCGATGGATATCTAGGAAACCACTCGAAGGATTTTTTTGAAATTGTGACGGTGTGATACGGACCGTGGGGTCTACCAGGCTAAAATATTTTCAAGGTCATCGTACTTCGGTTATACCTGAAGTCGATACTAACTTTCTTATTTTAAATGGAACCCTCTGTATATTATTGCAATTTTGAAAAGAACATCTATTTTTAAGTTGAAAACATATAACACACTCCATATTTAGTATTGACCGTTTCCGAGATATTTTGATTTTTAAGCAAAAATTGACAAATGCAGTGTCAGCAAAATTTAGTTTTCCGGGAAACAGGTTTATTTTTTTGTGCAAATTAGACATTTTGTAGAGGAAAATCTAATTTATGGAATTTGACATGAAAATTTTCCAGTTTTTATACAGGGTGATCAAAAAAAAAGATCGAACATGAAGTTCAGAAAATGTGGAAAATTTTTAAATGAAAACCCCTAATTTTTTTAATGTATTTGCATTCTGCTCTAAAATTAAGTGTAACTTTGTTAAAGTTTCTGTATACCTAAACCCAGTGGTTTTCATTTTCTTTACGAATAAACATTTCCCTTAAAATGATTTCCATTTTCAATAGAATCCGGTGATAAATGCTCAAAAGCTTGCCTTACTCTATGCATACAATTTTCCTTTGTTGTTACTGAAGTACTACACACACTATTTTTTAGTGTCCCAAATAAAATAGCATCAATCACCGGATTCTATTAGAGCAGCGACCCACAAGGAACTAAATAAATTTGACAATTAAAAACCTGTGACAGTTGTCATGTTGATTGTTACTTACCTGTCACGGCCAACCTAAAATGTGCGAAACAAATGGAAACATCATTTAGGCCAACCTAAAGTCCGTAAATATTGATAAAGTACCACAATCTACTGCCGTTTTGGGATAAAATCCTTATTGCCAACCTCAAAATATAAGTTTAAAATTTTAATACATTTTTACGCAATACTTCAATACTTCTATTATACAATTTAATTTTAATAGTTGTTTTTTTTTATAAATATCACAAATTAGCATAATGTCAAATGGCTATTTTGAGGCACACTAAAACATTTATTGCGGTATTTAGTTAATTTAGGGACTTTAAGCTGATGTTAAGTCCCTAGATATTGACAAAGTACCACTACCAACGTTGGGACAAAATACTTGTTGCCAATCTTGAAATATAAGTTTGGACTTTCAGTATGTTTTTATGCAATTAATTAATTTTCACATATTTTGGACAATAAATTACATATGTCAGTATTTTTAATCTATAAACAATTGTTGTAGACTAAATTTTAATAGTTTCTTTTTATATAAATAGCAAAAACCACTATTTTAGGTCAAACAAGAACAATCAGTAATGGGTACTTAGTCCATCTAGGGAAACCTAAAATCCCTAGATATTGATAAAGTACCACTGTCAACTGCAATTTGGGCGCAAAATCCCTATTGCAAACCTTGAAATGTAAATTTGATTTTCAGAACATTTTTACACAAATTATTTGCACATAATAATAATTAATAACGGGATACCTCAAAATTTCTATGTATAATACTACAATTACATTTTAATGGTTTTTTTTGTATAAATAGCATTAACTGACATATGACTCTCATTTTGGGCCAAATAGGAACAATCATTTGCTGGTACTTAGTCCATTTGGGGGCTTTAGACAAATTTAATACAAAATAGTGAGGATACGGTTCTGGCTATCTCTTGTTTTGACGAGTGTATTCGCTGCCCTAGCCATACAGTGCAAATTTACTGAGAAAAGTCAGTCAGCACTGAGTCTTTTTTCTTAGTTGTGGTTTTCTGTTCTGTCTTTTTTTAAACAATGACACAATCATACATGCTTTTAATTTACAGGAATTGTTGACAAAGTGCAACCGTAGCATCTCGTTTATATGCGAAAAGGTTGAAAATAATGCAACAATAAGCAATAGGTGATTGTTGTGCGAAAAACCTGAATAATGTCGAAAAACTTAGACAATGAATAGAAAATATTTGTAAAGTTAATGAACAACTATGGAAGGTTGTAACTACGTTATTTTAGTATTATTTTAAAAATAAAATTAAAAAAAAATCTTGTTTTGAATAGCTGTAAAAAAACATGACTCAACTTATCGACTCTGTCGATCTTTAGTAGTTATTTATTTTTACAAGTTTTACACTTTGTTGCATCAACTTCGAGAAGACCCCGTATAGCGCGTATGAATTAGTTATGCTTTATAAACGTTTTTTTGCAGGTGCTCGACTTGGACGAGACATTGGTCCACTGTAGCCTTCAGGAGCTGACTGACGCCAGCTTCCATTTCCCCGTTCTCTTTCAGGACTGCTCCTACACGGTTTACGTTAGAACCAGACCGTTCTTCAGGGAATTCATGGAGAAGGTCTCTCAGATATTCGAAGTTATTTTATTCACGGCTTCAAAGAGGGTGTACGCCGATAAGCTCCTAAATCTACTCGATCCCGATCGGAAATGGATTAAGTACAGGCTATTTCGCGAGCACTGCGTCTGCGTTAATGGGAACTACATAAAGGATCTGTCCATTCTGGGAAGGGACCTTTCCAAAACTATTATCATCGATAATTCGCCCCAGGCGTTCGGTTACCATGTAAGTCGCCGTTTAGTTGAAAATCGCGTCGTATTAGTCTGAAATTTTTTTCAGCTTAACAATGGTATTCCAATCGAGAGCTGGTTTGAGGACAGGAGTGATTCTGAACTTTTGAAGTTGTTACCGTTCCTCGAAAGCCTCGTGCAAGTGGTAAGTAGTGTTTTGTGCTTTGTTTTTTTTTTGATCTAGCAGCTTAAACTGTCGTCCGGTGAAGAAACTGACAAATATTTTTTTGTACTGGTGGTCCGGAAACGAATGGGCCCTCCATCAAAGGTAGATGAAAATAAACCTATTTCAGTTCAAGTTTTTTTTGGGTTAAAAAATTGCAGGCCTTAAAAAAATTAATATTATTTTGTTTAAAGGTAGCTCCTTTACTTTTTGAAGTATTTCAATGTAATTTGATTGGGTTTTCCATGGTAGCTCAAGCTGAAAAAACCTTTCAATTTTTTTGGTGGTAGAAATTTTAGGGAAACGCAGTTGTTTTTCATATAAAAAAATATACCCCTTGCTTGTTTATGGAAAAGAAAAAATTTCAATTGAATATTGCATTTGTCAATTATGCACATTTGAGCTTTTCGGAGCATCCTAATCTAATTAAGCATCTAATTCTTGCTAAGTTTTTGTATTGTCTGTGATGCCAGGCCAGTGGCGTTACTAAGAAATTTAAACATAATTTCACTGTATTAAATATTTAAAATAAACTTACCAGCATCTAATTTCATTACAAGTAAAACGTGCAGCGGTAAATGATACTCGTAAGTTTATCGGCGAAAAGTGCAATAGTTTTATTATAATTATTTTTCCTGTCTCTCTTACGTCGTCTCAGTTTCTTCCTTTGTTCATTATCGGCCACGCCTTAAACCTACAAGTCAGGTATTGTACTAAAAATACCCAGTCTGGCAGCTGTAAGAGTAGATTTTTTGTGCATTTGACATTCGAAATGTGACAAAAAATACATTTTATTACTGTGTAATCTCGGAATAAATCAGGAAAACGTTTAATATATTATTAATTTGAACTAGACATTTTTAAAATTTCTTTAGATGTAGGGGCTCGTATGAGTGCCTAAGGGATCTTAAATATGCACTATTCATTGAAAAGTGCAACATGTTTCATTATAATTAAATTATTTTTCACGCAAGATAATTCACATGCTAATAGTTTTTATATCAATTGGTAATATTCAAATTCTTAATTTTTGGCATTTTTTCAACCCCTAAGTTGGGGTGATTTTTAAAATTTTCAAAATACTAAAAGCTATGCATATTTCAGTTTTTTACGACAAGTAATTTGTGACCAAAAACATATTTTTATCTATTTTTTAAAATTCTATGCGAATTGTGAAAATACGGGCGAAATTCACAGGTTTTTTGCGGTCACTCTTTCTTTAGATGTAGGGGCTCATATGAATGCCTAAAAGATCTTAAATATACACTAGTCATTGAAAAGTGCAACATGTTTTATTATAATTATTTTTCCGATCTCACTTATGTCCTCGTTAAGTCCTACCATATATTACTCTCAGTTTTGTCCTTTATGCGGTACATGTAACGATATAATTGACAGTTTTGAAGTGATGGCCACGTACGTACATATTTTTCCCAAAATAATCAAAATTGTGCATTAAAAATACCCAGTCCGGCAGCTGTAAGATTTGATCTCTATTATACATTTGACCTTCGAAATGTGTTACTGTCCCATCTCAGCGTAAATCAGAAAAACATTTAAAACATTTATTAATTTCATAGACGTAACTCGAACAAGACATTTTTAGATTTCTTTAGATGTAGCGTTCCGTGTGAGTGCTTAGAAGATCCTAAATATGCACTAAACAAAATGCCAGTTTCGATCCACAATACAGACCTCTTTACTGTGCTGCCTTGTTTATGCACCAAAGTGACAAACTGTAAATATTGCATATTTTTTCAATTTAGATCTTCGAATAATCAAAGTTTTGCAAAACAGCTTTTAGAGGGAAGTTTATGTCTGTCAAATTTGACACTATTTTCAAGGGATTGCCGAGAATGGCATTACTACTCGAAATTTTCAAAAATTGAAATGAAAAGTTGTTGATGGCTTTTATATTTATATCTCAATATTTTACATTTAAAAACATGCATTTTTAATTCAATAAAAGCTCGCTTCTACAAAATTATTTAATTTTACTATTCACAAAATTACAGTCTTTGTAGCTAAATATTAAATATTAACTTAGGTACGTTCTTTTAAAGATAAAATAAGTTAACGCTGGCGTTTTATGGACAAGAAATCTCACTTTTAGTAAGATAATGAATGATAGAACAAGAAAATCCATTTAAACTATAGAAATGATGAAATACAAAGATTCCTTTGCAGTAAAAGATCGTGGAAAACATGGACACTCATGTGAACATCGGAATGTACCTTTCCTGTTTTGTCGAGAATTTTGTAAAAAATTCTCGACAATTATGATTAATTCAAGTGTTAATAGTTTCACAAAAGCATTCTGCGGGGTGTGATTATGTTTATAGTACGGTACGCGATTTTCTGCACATTTAACAGGCATATAAATTTCAGGAAATAATATAAAAAGTAAAAAATTAAGTAAAGTTTTTGTCCTGATTCTGAATGTATTGGCAGCTTGTAAACTATTTTACACCCTGAAGAAAATTTGTATAACTGGTACAGTGAAGAGATATTGTCCACAACTTGCTTAGATTTTCTAAAACCCTCGTCGAAAGATTGTTATAAATCCACTGAAAATTGCACATAAAAATACCCTCCTTAATAAAAATTTATTAAAAAACAGTTTATTTTAGTTTAACTTGATCTAAATTGATTTATTTTCATCCAAGTAAACTATGTTTGAAGTACTACCCATTTGATTCTGGATCCTATAAAGGGTGCTTACAACTTATCCAAACAAAATATAAAATAAAAAAAAAACATACAAATATCACATTATGAAAAAAAATATCACACTACTGGAATTTGATACAATAATTTCTCTTTTCACATTTTTGTTGTATCACCGCGGTAAAGGTAGTAGCATTTGGCACAAATCTACATACGGAAACCGTTCTGCTTACAGCGAGATGCTACTAATGCATTTTGTCTCGTTACACCATAAATTAAAACAATATTCATTAATTCTACATGTAGGCCATTCTGAACATTTATAAGCGTGATGTAAACAATAAACCACAGTAATAAGAACACTGTAAAAGCCACAATAATACTCAATAAATAGGAGTTTGTCAAATTAAATCGGCTGTAACTACTTGAAGGGAAAAAACTTAAGGTACTTTTTGGCAAACACACTGCAATTGTTCAGCTGCGTAGTATTCGTAAATATAACAATCCCAAACATTTTTTTCCCATATTTTATTAGATTTATTATACAGGGTGCCGCAAATTTCACCGACAACGTTTGACTGCATATTCACGACGATAAATAAATACGATCAACGAAAAAAGTTAAATAAAAACTAGGTTTTTGAGTTACAAGCCTTCAAAGTTGTCAAAAATAAAACTAATTTAATTAATAACTTCATAACCCTTTTATCGATCGCTTTAAAATGGGACATATTTAATTGGACTATTACGACGTTATTATTTCTTAAAACTTTAGTCAAAACGATATACTGGGTGGTAATTACCGGTTACCTCCCCCTTTTTGCGGTCAAAACTTTTACAGTGCTCGTGTTTTTTTTAAACGGGCAGCAACATTGAAAAGGAAGTTTTATTTAAAAAAAAAATGTATGTTGGAATCTAAATTTTCAAGTTCTTCAGCAGGAGTTAAATGAAATGGTCGAAGACGTTGCTGTTTTAAAGTTCTGTCAATATTAGTTTTACATATATTTAATTGTCTTGATCTTGATACACTGGGGACACATCTTGGCTCATTTTCGATAACATTAAAAATTTCTTCCACTTTAGGTGGTAACTGACGAGGACAACTGGCCTTTACAGTATGTTTTTTAAAAGACTCATAGTCTCGTAATCTTCTGTTAATCGAAGCGAACGTAGTATTGTAAGATGTTCGACTATTCGGGAATTTTTCACTGTACAATAGTGCAGCAGCTCGATAGTTGATCCTACACCCTGCTAATATTAACACATGTTGGCAAGCTCATTGAATGAATATTCCATGTTTAATAAAACGTTATTAATAACAAACTTCCTCCTAAATAAACTAATGTAACGAATTTAAGAAACTAGCAAAATCAATTAACATTAAAATAAAAGAATAACAATACCGTCACTTAGAGCAAATGACAATAATGACATTACCTGATAGTCACAGCAAAGAACATTATGTTTTAATGGCCTACTGAGCTCAAATAATGCCATTTTTCTCAAGAATGGTTTCTTGTATGCGATTTTATTATGGGACAATTTTTTTTTAAATAAAACTATATTTTCAATGTCGTTGCCCGTTTAAAAGAAATACGACCACTGTTAAAATTTTGACCGCTAAAATGAGGAGGTAACCAGAGAAAACTACCACCCTGTATATCGATTTGACTAAAGTTTTAAGAAATAATAAGCCGTAATAGTTCAAATAAATGTGCCAAATTTTAATGCGATCGGTGAAAGGGTTATGAGGTTATTAATTGAATTAGTTTTATTTTTGACAACTTTGAAGGCCTGTATAGTCTTTCCGAAGTCAGTTGAACATGCAAAAAACCGTCTGGTAATAAAATTTAATGAGTTTTATAGGCGTCCCTAAAAAAATTTTCTGCTAAAGGTAAAAAATTATAATAATTTGTATATAATGCGTAGAAAATTTTTATTATATGTTCATTTGGCCAACAACATATTTTAATTATTTATGTCCTCAAACAATTTTATTATATTGGTGGTAAATTTCATTTTGTTCCGTTTCAAATGGTCTCCAAAATGCCTTGTTGTGGTAATATTAGTAAACAAAATATCCCTCTTATTTCTCCACAATTATTTCGCAATTGTAGTATGAATGATTGATAGAAGGTGCCTATAATAAATTAAAATTACCTGAATCACACCAAATTCCGCATTGCTGCACTTCACTGCTGGGCAATTTATCAACCACTTGTGGTCTGCTGTGATTTATTGCCCAGTAGCCCAATGCAACTGTAATCGTTTTCCTTTGCTCGCGCTCGCATTCTTCAACTGAGCGTATACATTTCTATCGCCTCCACGTTTAGTTCGACCAGACCTGTATATGGGTATGGCTAAATAAATATGGGAACAAGTTTTTCAAATATTTCAATTTCAGTGACCGAACCTGGTACATACTATCAATCTGTTGGTTCTTCAGTTGATATCGGAAAAACTAAACTCAAAAATCAAAACTTTTTTTTTTTGTAGATTGTATTTATTTAACGTCGTGAATATGCAGTCAGACGTCAGTAAAATTTGCGGCCACAATGTATATTAATTTAAATCACCCTGTATATGAAATTATGGGTGGAATCAATTTCTTTCAGAGAGAAGACGTCAGGCCTCATATCCGGAATAAGTTCAAGCTGTTCAGCTACCTACCTCCAGACTAGGAACAGATCACTATAGACAATCTCACTTAAGTATAAAAATACTCCTATTTTTTTTTTTTTTGTTAAAATTTGGTGTGTTAAAGTACTGACTAACGTAAATTTCCTTTTAAATTGATCTAAATTACGCAACTGAGGTGCCTTTTTTGGAACGTATTTCGTAGTTTTTAAATTATTTGTCATTCAAATAAAAAAAATGTACGTTTGGACGTAATTAGCAGTGAACGAATTCTAGTGCAATAATCGTGAATTTATGTGATGAGAGGAATATTTATTTTAAATATGAGTTCGCGGGGTAGCTAGGCGGCTGAGGACATTGTACAGTGTTGGTCAGTATTTTAAAAGAGTTGCGGATATATATATTTAGAAGTGAAAAAGTCTTTTATTGAAATGTATATAGGGGATCAAAATTAGAATTTTAGATTTCTTGCCATAAAAATGAAACTATAGATTAGATGCAATATTAAGCACAAAAAAAAAGTATTTTATTTGTTGTTTGTTATATTTTATAAGCGTATACGTAAGTATTATATCTTCATGTTGTAACGTTTTATATTTTATTATGAATCATTATTGTTTCGTGATAGGAAATTTATTGCCCATTTTCCTAGTTTCAGTTCGTTAGAAGATAATTTAAAAAAATGAAAACAACATTTAATATTTTGTATACGAAGAGGAGTCACTATTTCTGTTCCTACGACCATCTTCAAGAACTCTTTAACACAACACATTACCGATTTTATTGAATATAGAAATATAGAATTGTAAAAGAAGTCTTAATGTGCCCTTCCACGTTGTCCATTTTTTTTCTTTTTCAGTTACCAGTTTACTGTTTTCGCAATTTTTTTAACCCAACGCAAACTCGTGTAAACTTAGCATTCGATCACAATCAGTACAGAACTTTCTATCTTCAATAAAGATTGTAGCATATCGTTAAAATAGATACCCACACATATTAGCAGGCCGTGTCCTATTTAGTTGTTATATCTTTATTTATATAAGAAGAATTATTAATTTTGCCGGAGATATTACCAGCGGGACACTAGTGTAAGGTCACATCGTTTCATCCCACTGAAGTTCGTTGCAGTCGTTACAAAAACTGCGGCAGGAACTATGTCGAATTGTTCTCCAACGTAAGGCTTTAATTTTTTCCGAATTTATGTTTGCAGACGTTAAACGGTTTCAGTAGCTATTTGGTTATAGGCGTAATTTATTTTTGTATCTTTAAAGTTTTTAATTTGGAGTTTTCATTTTATTCTATGAATATTAGTTTTTGTACTTAACGAATAAATCGAGTACATATTATCCTTATATTTTTTTCAAGGATTCCAATTACATTCGAAACGGTACGGTCACATTTGAAAATGTTCAAACGAGTATTGGACAATTGATACAATTAAAATAGATCTAAAAAATTTGCTGTTTTGTAGTAAATGCAATTTTACGTTTTCTTTTTAAAGGGAATTTTTTATTTTTTACAGTGTTTTCTTATTGTTATATATGTAAACTTTGTTTTCACTGTTACTTTTAATGATTACTATGTAGGTTTTATTGCAATAAATATTACATTAAAAATAAACCACTTTTTCTCAACATACCTACTAATCGAGACACTATAATTGCAACAGCAATAACCGAAAATCCTCAACAAAGAATACCTGTAATAAAGATATGGATTGTGGTATAAGGTATCCAGATACTTGAAAAAGTGTAAGTATAAAATAGTAAATAAGACATCAAGGGTGTTATAAAGATAATAATGTGCCAAGATCAGCTATGTACTTCCAACGAGGTTATAATTTCCAAATATGCTCATTTCTATGGTCTATTTAATAAAAAAAATTTAACTGTACGTTTTTACTATAATGATGATAATGCCAACAGTAATAACTGAAGATCATCAACAAAAACAAAGAACACATTATGTACATGGATTGTAAAGCAAGATATTCAGGTACTTGGAAAAGTGAAAGTATAAAATAGTAATTGAGGTATCAAGGGTGTTATAAAGATAATAATGTGCCGAGATCAGCTACACACTTCCTGGAAGTTATAGTTTCCAAGTGTCCCTATTTAATAAAAAGTATTTGAATTTTATTTGTTTTTTATTTACTGTAATGGCCAGTAATACATATAAATCAGTGGACTAGATTGTAACAGTAACTGAAAATCAAAGAATACATATATTAAAGATGTGGATTGTAAGGTAAGGATATCGAGCTACTTGTAAAGTGTATGTATAAAATAGTACTTAAGTTATCAAGGGTGTTATAAAGGTAATATTGTGGTGAGGTTAGGACTTCCAGGAATTTATAGTTTCCAAATATGTATGTATATTAGGGTGGCCCAAAAAAACGAATATTTTTTTTCGTGTCTTGTGAAAATATGTTGTTTATCATGTTTTTAGAGCTCCCTCAAAAAATCAGCTCAAAAAATATTTTTTTAGAGGTCGCTCAAGATTTTTAAAAATTTCCAAAATCGTCAAAAATTGAATTTTTTTTAAATTTTTTTTTCTCGTTATTTTATCATTTTCTAGGATGAAAAAAATCTCGATTTTGAAAATTTCAAATCGATAATTTAATTTGTAAAGGTCACTCATAATTATTTTAACTTTCAAAGTAGTGTTTATTTAAGTGTCTCGTGGCTTATTTCTATTTTGTTCATCAAATTCAATAAAAAAAAATTATTTGTTCGTTTATATTTATTTTTAGAGGTCGCTCGAAAACATAGGTACACTACTTTGAAAGTTAAAATAATTATGAGTGATGAGAAATTAAAATATCGATTTGAAATTTTCAGAATCGAGATTTTTTTCAACCTAGAAAATGATGAAATAACGAAAATAAATTAAAAAACCATTCAATTTTCGACGATTTTGGAAATTTTTAAAAATCTTGAGCTACCTCTAAAAAAAAATTTTTTGAGTTGATTTTTTGAGGGAGCTCTTATAACATGATAAACTAACATATCACATCACAAGACATGAAAAAAATATTATTCATTTTTTTTGGACCACCCTTAAACATTTCTATGGTCTATTTAGTAAGTACAGTAATGATAAGGTACCTAATACTTTTCTGTGTTCTTTAATTTTGGAGTAAAAAAGACATTTTTATTTTTGTTATTGAACTGAACATTGCCGAGTTTCCTTAGCTGCAAAAAATAGTTTTTGTACCAATTGATTATAGTTTTAGATTAATAGGAGATTAACCATAAAGTGTCTTAAAAAAAGGAGATAGGGTAATACTTGTCTATGTATATGAGGGTGTTCCTGAGTTTTGGAGTCAAAAAAAGGCATTTATGTGTTAATAAACATAGAATATTAAATTATTGCATCATTTCTTCCAATTTAGAAAATCGTCCAGTTGCAAAGCCAAAAACGTAGCACTCTTATATTTAGAAATGGAGATATCATTGATAACTAGATCTAATGCTACACACTGCTTCTGCCAGTTATGAAATCTTATATAATGAGTTTTATTGACGTTAAAATAAAGAGAATTTGCTGCGTTCCAATTTGAGACGTCAATAAGTATATTTATTACACTTGACTTGTGTAACGACTCAACTATTACATGAGGAATTAATAGAGATGTATCATCACCATACATTGATAAAAAGCATGATCAACTGTTTTGGAGAAATAGTGAACACAAAGCAAAAACAATATGGGGCCCAAAATCGAACCTTGTGGAATCCCCAAATTAAGAAAATTTATTCTATTTGTAATTTCATCTTCATAATGGGTTATATTAACAAACTGCTTGCTCTCTGTTTAATGTAAATCTAACCCAATTTAGANAGTGTCCCTATTTAATAAAAAGTATTTGAAATTTATTTGTTTTTTATTTACTGTAATGGCCAGTAATACATGTAAACCAGTGGACTAGATTGCAACAGTAACTGAAAATCGACGAATACATATATTAAAAGTGTGGATTGTAAGGTAAGGATATCGAGCTACTTGTAAAGTGTATGTATAAAATAGTACTTAAGTTATCAAGGGTGTTATAAAGGTAATATTATGTTGAGGTTAGGACTTCCAGGAATTTATAGTTTCCAAATATGTATGTGTATTAGAGTGGCCCAAAAAAACGAATATTTTTTTTTCGTGTCTTGTGAAAATATGTTAGTTTATCATGTTTTAAGAGCCCCCTTAAAAAATCAGCTCAAAAAAAAATTTTTAGAGGTCGCTCAAGATTTTTAAAAATTTCCAAAATTGAATTTTTTTTTAATTTTTTTTTCGTTATTTTACCATTTTCTAGGTTGAAAAAAATCTCGATTCTGTAAACTTCAAATCGATATTTTAATTTCTAAAGGTCACTCATAATTATTTTAACTTTAAAAGTATTGTACCTAAAATGTTTTCGAGCGACCTCAAAAAATAAATATCAACGAACTAATAATTTTTTTTATTGAATTTGATTAACAAAAGAATAGAAATAAATCACGAGACACTTTTCTCGAGGCAAAATTTACTACCGCACTGTATCAAATATTTATAATTTTTAATTTTTTTAAAATTAAGTGTCTTGATTTATTTCTATCCTTTTCATCAAATTCAATAAATATTTTTAGAGGTCGCTCGAAAACATAGGTACACTACTTTGAAAGTTAAAATAATTGTGTGACCTTTGGAAATTAAAATATCGAGTTGAAATTTTCAGAATCGAGATTTTTTTCAACCTAGAAAATGATAAAATAACGACAAAAAAAAATTCAATATTTGACCATTTTGGAATTTTTTAAAAATCTTGAGCGACCTCTAAAAAAATTTTTTTTGAGCTGATTTTTTGAGGGTGCTCGATAAACTAACATATTTTAACAAGACTCGAAAAAAAATTATTCATTTTTTTGGACCACCCTTATACATTTCTATGGTCTATTTAGTAGTACAGTAATGATAAGGTAATACTTTTCTGTGTTCTTCAATTTTGGAATAAAAAATACATTTTTGTTTTTGTTATTAAATTGGACATTTGCTGAATTTCCATGGCTGCAAAAAAATATTTTTTGTATCAGTTGATTCGTTTTAGATTAATAGATTAACCATAAGATTTCATAAAAAAAATGAAATAGGGTAATACTTGTCTATGTATATGAGGGTGTTCGTGAGTTTTGGAGTCAAGAAAAGACATTTATATGTTAATAAACATATAATATTAAATTATGGCATTATTCCTTCCAATTTAGGAAATCATCCTGTTGCAAAGCTAAAAACGTAGCATTTACATTTAGAAATGGAGACATCATTGATAATTAGATCTAACGCTACACACTGCATCTGCCAGTTATGAAATCTTATATAGTTTTATTGACGTTAAAATAAAGAGAATTTGCTGCGTACCAATTTGAGACGTCAATAAGTATATTACACTTCACTTCACTACTCCTCTATTACAGAAATTAATAGAGATGTATAATCAGCATACATTGTTAAATAAGCGTCATCAACTGTTTTGGCGAAATCATTAATACAAAGCAAAAACAATATGGGGCCCAAAATCGAATCTTGTGGGATGCCCAAATTAAGAGAAGCATGCTCCGAATTTATTCTATTTGTAATTTCATCATTATAATGGGTTATATTAACAAACTGCTCTTTGTTTAATCTAACCCAATTTAAAGCCAAACCGCGAATACCATACGATGATAATTTTAATAGTAATATTTTATGATCGACTATAAAAAATTTTCATTATTTTGTTTTCACCTCATTAGTTTCAAACACTAGCAGGATATTATAGCATGACCGTAAGGCTTCAAAAAAAAAAACAAGAAAGAATATTTTCCTATATGTAGTCATTAAATTTTAGTTTATTAGTTTTAGATTAATAAGAGATTAAATAAAACATGACCATTTTATAAAAATAATGAGGTTGGGTAATATTTGTCTTTATGGAGCTGTTCTTAAATTTGAGGCAAAAAGACATTTATTGTTATTAAACATAGAATATTTTTTGAGTTTCGTTAGCTATAAAAAATATTCGTTATTTTCTTCAAGAGTAATATTTTCCGATATGTAGGGTTCTTAAATTTTTGAGTCAAAAAGGAAACACTTTTTTCTTTAGCTATAAACAAATATTTTTTTATCAATTTATTACTTTTAGATTAATAGATTAAAGCATGAGCACAATATTTCATACAAAAAATGAGAAAGACAATACTTGTCTATAGGGTGTTCTTAAATTTTGGAGTTAAACAGAAAAGACATTTATTATTGAACAGGATATTTTTCTCTGGTTTAGTTTCATATTAGTTTTTTTTATATCAATTTGATACCAGGATTCATAACACTATTCTTAAATTTTGAATTTTTTAAAAGTTTTGAAAGAAATTATACTTACACATCGGATGTTTTGTTTCCTTAAATAAAAAAAATCTTCATACTTTTTTTTATCACCTTATCATCAAGTAGTTCAGAATATAATTCTTTTGCAGATTATTTCCTTTAATACATACGTATTGACTATTGATTTATCAGTTGATAGTTTTTTTTTTTTAATTCAACTATTCTAGTGCATTCAGGTTTAATAAGGGGCTTTTGATAAACAAAATTGCACTCCCATTACAACTTATTTTCAACAAATAAGCATATCGCTGTAAGTATAACAAAGCAAGCGGTGACTAGCGTAAAAGAAAGCGAAAGTTTAGAAATAAAATAAAGCAGCTCCCAGACCTGAAATTTTTATTAACAACTAGCATATACATTTTTTTTTGTTATAAAATCTGTCTTATTTGACTGAGACCTTCTTCATTAACTTGTCTTCTGTGTACAATTGATAGCCGTGATATTACTTAATAATTACAGTGATCTACTACCCTAAATTTTAAATATCATACCTACAGTAACTTCCTTGACTGTCACGATTTTTACCAGAGTCCTTGATAAAACCCAGTGTCAGCCAGTCTCGGACACAGCATACAAACTTGCATACATTTATATCAACATTCGTTCTTTACCAGTTTTGACAAAAGAAAAAAAAAACAATAATTGTAATATATCACGCTTTATAAATGTTCAAGTACCATCCACACTTTACGCCTAAAGTATAGACTTTCACGGATATTATTCCATTACAAAAATGCAAGTCCGATAACTAAAGTGATCACGTAATTATTTTTTTGGACTTACGTCAAAGTAACTCATTCAAACTTTCAAGTAACGCTTGAATCATTGAGTACAAACTGCAGAATTATTGAATCGAACGATGACGGCAAAGTCTTAAACTGCTAAAGTGTAAGGATGGTAGCTAAAAACTACACATAATATGTAATTTTATTTGATAAATGTCCCTTAATATAATTATGCTACAAGATGCTGCAATTTTGGATGTAGCACAATTAAGTTGCAGCACGGCGTATAACTAGAGACCTGTCTATGGGGAAGTTCACTGCGAAGGGTATTTCTGTACAGAGGTGTACATCACCGGCACATTGGGTTGTTGACCTGGCTGACCCGACCACTGTCCTTGTTGGGGCATCACACAGTACTGCTGGTTTCCGGGGTATTGTTGGTATTGCTGGTAAGGGTAGTTCTGCATGTACCCTCCTCCGCTGTACGTCTGTGGGTACCAGTAACCCCCGTAGTAAGAATAAGGCGGTGCCGCGTTCTGGGGTACCGCGGCGCCGGGAGGCATGGCACTTGGATCTGGTCCTAGACCGCCGTTCTCCTTCCCCCAGAAGCATTTTACGTTCTGACCGTTTATTTCTGTGTTGTGGATGCTCTCGATAGCGTGAGTTGCACTTTCCTTTGTAGTGAATTTAATGAATGCATAACCTTTATCTTTAAAAACACGTATGTCTTGTATCGAACCGAACGGAGCGAAAGTTTTGTGTACTAATTCGTCGGATAGGCCATTTGTGAAGCCTCCACAGTAAACTGTTGTGTTAGTTGGGGAACTCTGGTTATATACTTCGTCGAAGGTCGGTTGCTTTGCTCTTTGCGTTTGTTTCTCCGTTCGCGGCGGTGGAGGCTTCCTCGTTGACCAATTTGTACGGATAGAACGAGAACCTAGCCATTGTCCATTCATTGCCTGAATCGCGTTCTCAGCTTCTGCTTTTTTTACAAACGATACGAAAGCGTATCCTTTCGACTTCAGTGTCTGGGGATCCCTTACAATCCTGCAATTTGAAATTTCTCCGAATGGAGCAAAGGCCTCTCTTAACGTTTCAGTCTCTATTTCTGGTGATAAATCGCCTACAAAGATGTGGTGGTGGTTAGAAGTATCTTGTTTAGGTTGATTGCCGGGGCTCGTGGCCCAATTTACTTTCATTTCCTTATCCAAAAACAATCTTTTATTCATCGCCGCCAACGCTGTTGACGCTGACTGATGATTAGTGAATTCGACAAAAGCATATGGATCATTTCCGGGTTCTCTAATAATTTTGCAGCCTTTTACTGGGCCTATTTGTGAAAATAAAGTACACAACAGGTCTTCTGACACTGACACGTCCAGATTGCCCACATACAATGTTTTTGGATGACTCTCGTCCGACATGGTGACGCCGGCACTATAAAGCGATACGGAACTCTCAGCGTCTGTGATTATCAACTTTATTGCACATAAAGAGGTTTTTTTATTGTCTTCTACAAAACTGTTTATATTTTCACAATCTCCTTGAATAATCCGACAACGAACTGGATGACAAAAACTGGCCAACTTTTATTTTCTGGAAGTCCAGCTGTCATTTGGCAAAAACGGTCAAGCGACAAACACTAAATGTCCCTAAATCCAAATGCAAATCCTAAACTGACAAAGGCTCAGTGGGAAACTGAAAAAAGAAAGTAACTAGTAATTTGCTACTAATTTCACTTTATTTGTTTATAGATATCGAATAATATCAAGGTTATATATTATCTATATGTTTAATAATTATATTGCATAAATATCTGGTTAAAATAATTTAAGATTTTGTATATGTAAACATTTAAGAAAAACAGTATACGCATAATTTTTATTATACAACAAGCAATAGATGTATTAAAAAATTGGCAAGTTGGATGTAATCACACGACCACTTTACATTCACAAGGTTTATTTATCAGTTTTATTTTATTTATCAAATTTAATAGAAATTTGAACTACTTGAACTTGGGACCATTGATTAAAGAAGTACACTAAGGACAAAGATTTGATTTTAATTTGTCCTGTGTTCTGTAACACTGGATTTTTATCTAAAAAAACTTGGAAACTTTCCAGAATTTCTGTTACTGAAATTTCGATGGACTGCAGAATATAGGTTTTTTAGGAGGACTATTTTATTTCAGTCGTAGTGAAAAATTATATTATTTTTATTTCATTATCTTTTACTAATCTATGGTTTAATTGTTTAATATTTATCTTTCAAAAAGACGTTAACCATAACCAACGTCAACTGTCAACATCAACCATGAAAATAAGTTGATAAAAGAAAAGAAAGAGTAGAAAGACTGAATTTAAAAAGTTTTATTTTAGTCCTAAACTGTGAGGCATATTTTTCTACAAATATAAACATTTTAAACATCATGGATCACTTCAAAGATGCACATTATTTTTATATACCCTCTCAAGGGAATGTTTATACTATGACTGATTTAAAATTAGCGAATGGATCAACAAAACTTCTGGTAGCTTCCTTAAAAAGAGAAGTATTTTGTTTTGAATACCAGGATTCTCCAACGGGTAGTTTAGTACCTACCACTAAAGAAATTTCTTTTACATACATCCCCAGTAAGTTTATTTTTTTAATTTCATAATTTGACTATTAACAATATTTTCATAGATGGTGCTGAGATAATATCCCTTGACGCTTTTAATAAATCCTCAACGACTAATGAATTTGTTATCGGAATTACCATAATAAAGGTTTGCTTCATGTACAATTTAACTAAATATTCAATAACACATTTTTTAGAATAGCAATGAAAGCGATTCTCTGGAAGCTTACTTAAACATATACTCAGAATGGGAAGAGAATGAAGACTTTAATATCGAAAACATAGCACAAAACTGTTTAAACGTAGAGTTAAATTTTATTCCTTACAAACTCTTACATTCTTTTTTGGTGAAATGGCAGGACGACGAATGTGTGACTAAAGAAGTAAGTACACTTAATAATAGTAGCATTTTTATTGTTTTTTTCACCCTTGCAGTTTGTATTTATTTTATCTGGTAGCGATCATCAAGTACATGTGTATCGAGAACATACATTGGAACATGTGTATAAAGAAATAGACAATAAGGATTTTTTTCCTGAATTCACGAAAGCGCCCAGTCCTATTATATGGATAGACGTCTATTATTCTGAGGATTACACTGAGTAATTATCAATCTTATTAAAATAAAAATTTTACCGAGTATTGTTTTCCAGACGAATAACGTCTTACGCTTGTGAATGTGGTTATATTAAATTACTGAAAGTGGATACAAAGAAAAACCAAGTTGTTTATAATTTTTCCACAAGATTTGGCAACTATATTTCACGTGTGCAAATTTTTCCTGAAGACGATGGTATGTCTAATTTTACATTCGAAATGAATGGTAACGTTAAACGTATTGGTAGAGATGAGAAACCGGTGAGCCACAGTAAATCGATACCAAATAAAATTAATTTAGTCGTCATAAACACCATTTTGCCTGCTGTAATATTTCAGTAAGTGTCCCGTGATGTTTAAATATTACATTTATTTATTCTTTATACAGGGTATTCAGTTATTAATGGACGTAATGTCAAATTGTAACTGAACATCCTGTATACTGAGACTACTAAGTTGTTTGATCACGTTGAAGCAATGTTCTCGAGTTTGGTTTAACGGACTACGCTACTCTTCCTCGTCACGACAGCACAAGTATTTTGACGTGCTGTGAAATTGCCGACATTGATTTCGATGGACGGAAAGAAATACTGATTGGGAATAGCGCCGAGGTAGGTTCTGTATTAAAATAGCTGCTATTAAAATAACGAGTCTTACGTTCGTTTAGGAAATAATGCTTCTGAAGCATATCGAACAAAAAGGATGGTGTTTGGAAGATCTTAAAAAGATCGCCGCGCCAGTTCTTGGTTTAAAATATTTAGACGTTAGTGGGGATGGGGTGAAGGAACTGGTAGTTTTGGGAATGAAAGGAGTTCACGTTTTGCAGGTAAGAAATATAAAAAAAAAAATGAGGAACTTTGAATATGACTCGGTTATAAAGTGTTGTAGGGAGTTGTTTTTTATTTATCAAACTTTAGGAATTGGTGTTGTCAATAAAATAGTGATAGTTTGTTGCACTATATGCTAGAGGGAGTTAAAGGTACCTTAAAAAAAATGGGACACCATAAACACAATGCAAAAATTATTTTTTCTAAATCTCTGTTCATTTTACAGTAAGAAAGTGCTTGTAAAATTTTCTTAGAAATTTTTATTAAATTTTTTTTCAAAATTATAGTCTTATAAAATAACTGCATTGATGCAACTTAGACAAAAGATCCAATAAATTAATAAATGTTATATTCAGTGTGTATTTTTTTGTAATAAAGGCATCTGTCACCACTTTTATTTCGTCATAAAGGTATCAGCAACCCCCATTTCTATGACAGTGATGAAACTGAAAATACTTTTAAAATGTATGTTTTTGCAACAATGGAAATTATTTGAGAAAAATAAATAGAATTTCTTATATTTTGAAATAAAACATGTTTATACATCAATTTTTCACCCAATAAATTGTACAGGGTGTCACCTAACGAATGTTACATACTTCAAGGGTATAATCTAGAACCCAAATGGTGTTGATTTAACCAAACTTGCTTAAACGAAAAATGTCGCAAAAAAAAAAGTTACAAGGTGCTAAAGTTTCTTTTTTTATTTCTTGTTTTCTCCTTAACTCATAACCCAGTTAATCGATTTGAGCAAAAATTGTTCTTGCTTAGTTTCTTTTCATGAAGTATGCAGTGATTATGTTCCTATTAGGTTAAAACATACAGGGCGTTTAATTTACTTCAACCCTTTGTGAATATTCTTCTGTAACTTTTTTGTAAGTTTAAATTTTTATACACAACTGTCAGAAATAGGTAGAGAATTTTATTCTACAAAAAAATGTATATCTCTCAAAAGTTATTACATAGTTATTTCTAAAAAATATTGGGTATCTGTTAATAAATATTTTCTGTAATATCTTCATAATCGAGCATAATTTCGACTTTTGATAGGTATACATATTTGTAGGTGTAGAATAAAATTTTCTACCCATTTCTAATAGTTGCGTGTAAAAATTTAAACGTACAAAAAAGTTACAGAAGAATATTGACAAACGGTTTTAGTAAAATGAACGCCCTGTATGATTTAACCTCATAGGAACATAATCACTGTATAATTCATGAAGAGAAGCTAAGCATCAGCAAATTTTGCTCAAATCGGTTAACTGGGTTCCGAGTTAAGGAGAAAACCAGAAATAAAAAAAGAAACTAACACCCTGTAACTTTTTTTGACATTTTTGACAAGTTTGGTTAAATCGGCACCATTTGGGTTCTAGATTATACCCTTGAAGTATGTAACATTCGTTAGGTGACACCATGTATAAGGAATTGTCTCAGTTGGCTATATTTGTGGTACAAAATTTTGCTTGTTACAATAAATCGATCGATTTATCGGCACAATGTAAAGCTACCAACTTTTGGAATAAAAATGAATCAAAATAGTCATATTTACAAAATCTGTAACTTTACACGTAATAAAAGTTGCTTATTGACGTCTGGTGTAGGGGCTCTGGAGCGCCGCCCACCCTATAGAATTTAGTAGTGAAAAAATTTAATTTAAAATTTAGTGTACAATGTTATCTAGATAATTAAATAGATTAGTCTTATGAAACACATTAAAAACGAAATTAAATTTGTGCAGTCAATTTAACTTGCAAATTCGTTTGCAAAACTATGAATACGTGGGCTTGTAGCTCGCCTGTACATCTGTAGTGTTTACAGCGGTGGTCATGGTTACTGGCACACAGTAGGGAACAACAGAGTGGGAATAACACATATTTACTACTTTACTACCGCAGAAGTTTAAATTGTTTGTAGCACTTACAATGCTAACTATTGAAAAATGAATGGTGCGAGAAATACCAGAATTTTAATGAAAAACTAATTGAAAAGTTTATTTCGGACAAAAGAGAAAAATGGATTTTCACTATAAAAAATAATGTTGAGTACATTTTACCTATATTTCAATAGTACTTAAAATAATACTAACCATATACAGGTTCGGAAAGCCCCCATGATTCATCGGCCGTTACGTGAGAATGATAAAGTCATAGAAATCCGTGCGATACAGAAAGATGGCTATATTGAAGGCGTCTAATAGTCACCGCCCTTCCACAAATAAGATCCACTTCTTATTTGTGGAAAGGCGAAATGGGCGGTGACTATTAGACGCCTTCATTATAACCATCTTTCTCTATCGCACGGATTTCTATGACTTACTTTATCCCTCTCACGTAACGGCCAATGAATTATGGGGACTTTCCGACCCTATAAAATATTTGATTTTATTTTTACTTTGTACCTAAATTTTTCCGCCCTCTCTAGGGAAGTCAAAAGCCGTCACTGTTTATTAAGATAAAAAAGTTATCAATATTATGTTTGACATCAAAATTATATTGAAATCCCTAAGAACTCATCAATACAGTGTGGCTACGATTTAGGTGACGCAGGCCTATAATTCAGGTGTTAATTGACGAATCCTTTTCAAATTTTAACCACTTATGCAGACCAATGGGGTGCACATTTGAGGATCATTAAACTTACATATATTCGTAGGTGTGCGTCAGGGGAAATTAAAAGGGGATCGATTTTTCGGTATTTTTTATTAGCGAATAAAATACGGAAATGCTGATGCCTTAGTCTTAATCAGTATCATCGAAAATATACCTAAGGCAAGTTTCATCCAAATCATTTGTCGTTTTGACATAACACGTCAACAAGATTGTTATTAAAATTCTGAGTTTAAAAATAATTTATTGCGAAAAAACATCAGTGATGGCAGAAATTATATCAGTTGCGCACAAAATTGAAATAAGAATTTCTGGAGAGAATGTTACATCGCGTGAAGCTGCAAGAATTTTTAATCACCGTCATCCCAATCGAACAGTAAGTTACAGTACAGTAGCACGAATTAATAAAATATTTTACCTACGACCACTATTGTAAATACTTAAAAACACACCGTCTGTGATCATTGTAAGATTCCTATTACGTATGATAAAAAAATCGCACAGTTTTTCTAGCAACCGCCTAGCAACTTTCAATAAAATACTGTTTGTATTGACCGTTGCTAGGCGGTTGCTAGGAAAACTGTACGATTTTTTTACCAAGCTGTGCGATTTTTTTACCATTCGACATAATAGGAATCTTGCATTGATCGCAGACGATATGTTTTTAAGTATTTAAAGTAGTGGTCGTAGGTAAAGTATAGTACGTAATATGTGGTGTAATGCAATTACGCACTCGCCGCTATGCGGCGTCTTGCGTAACTTTTCAATTCGTGCGTAAAATGCTTTTTACAACACTTATTACGTAATATACTATAATCAGACTGGTAGTGTATCACATGTAAGACCAAAAGAATACCGACGAGCAAACTTACACAAAAATAGGATTTTAGATGCTTTCCGAAATAATCCACGACTAAGCATAGGACAGGCGGCATTGAATTTGAATTTAAACAAAGAGACCATAAGAAAATGTCTATAAAAATAATAAATTGAAGCCCTTTAAACCAAAAATTTTATACATTCTTTTAAGAGAATTTAGGGAGGCTAGACTATGCTTTCTGGGTGCAAGGCAAATTTCTGAACAGAAATTTTTAAAAAATAAATTTTAGGGATGAAGCTACTTTTTCTACAAATGATGTTGTATCGACGAAGAACTCTCGATATTGGGAAAGAGACAATCCCAGGTGGATAATAATTGCTAACTATCAGCATGTATATAGGGTGGATGTTTGGTGCACAATTTTTAATGATCGAATCATCGGACCCTTTTTTATAGAAACTTTAAATGCCCAAAATTTTTTATGTTTTTTGGAAACGGAATTTACTGATGTTCTGGACAATCTGCCGCTAGATGCTAGACATAATTTATATTTTATGTTAAACGGTGCTCCTGCACATAGTTCGCTAATAATTAGAAACTGGCTGAATACTAATTTTCCGTTAAAGTGGATAGGCCCTCGTAGCCTGTTGCAGGACTGGCCAGCCAGGTCTCCTGCTCTTACACCAACGGATTTTTATTTTTGGGGTACAGTTAAAAATAAATTTTACATCAATTGTCCACAAAACAGAAGATTTAAAACGACGAAGAGAGGCATTACGAAATATTTCTCGTGAACAACTAGGAAAATGAATTATTTCTGTACAACCCTGTATACGATTTGGATGAAACTTGCCGTGGGTATATTTTCGATGATACTGATTAAGACTGAGGCATCGGCATTTCCCTATTTTATTCGCTAATAAAAAATACTGAAAAATCGATCCCCTGATGCACACCTATGGATATATGCAAGTTTAATGATCCTCAAATGTGCACCCCCTTGGTCCGCATAATGGGTTAAAATTTGAAAAGGATTCTCAATTAACACCTGAATTATAGGACCAACCACTAGAAGAAGAAGAAGAAGAATAGGCCTGTGTCACCTAAATCGTATCCACACTGTATACCAAACATTTAATTTAATTATAATCTCAGATATAAATAAATATGAAAGCCGATATTGTCAAAATTGTAAGGTATCATAATTTTTTTTAAGTCGTCTTAACATTGGTACAACCGAATAAAAATTAAGTCACTAAAAACCCTTAAAATTGGCCAATAAACCAAAACACGTTTCCAATTTTCACCAACAAAAAATGTTCAATTCCTCGACTGATTTATTGGATGAAAAATTGGTAAAATAAAGTTTAAATTGAAAAATATAAGTATTTCTTATTACATTCAGCTCATGATCGACTGTTGTAGCACGATTCATCCTACCTTCAGAGAGTACTCCACACAAAAATCCAAAAACTGACGCTGCCAGATTTGGAAGAGATAAAAACGTAACTGCTCCCAAAATTCGTCCTGACAAAATCACGAACATGGACAAAAAAAAGGACCTAGGACTTAAAACGCATACAGGCAACTAACTTTTTATTGTCCGCAGCTGTATACGGAACAGAGGAAACATATGTGTTTATCGCACACCATAATTTATTTTTTCACTGGAAATCTTACCTTTCCTACTTACTTACCTTAGTATTGTACTGTATTTTCTGTAAATGATTTGGGTATTAAAAGGGTGGAACAAAACTCACGCTTCTGGTTTGATTTTTTTATTAGTGAATCCAGGCACAGATAAATTCTTTTTGTGGGACTATAATAGCTTAAACACTATCAACTACTGCATTAAAACTTACGCTAGATATATACAAATACATTCAATATAAGCTAAATCATCGTGTATAATTATATAAAAAACGAAATGAATCGAAACGACTACCTCCATAAATAGTAAATCTGAATGTTTAAATAATACGTCATTCCTCAATTATCCCTCAAACTAAATAAAAACGTAAAATCGAAAACAAAAGCGGAAAAGTGGAAATTAACGAGCGACCTCCAAATATACCGGATAAAAAAATTAAAAACGTTTAGAACCGCAACAAAGTACATTTGATTGAATCAAAATGCTTCGTTTAAATGTTTAACATCCTCAGTTTCGGATATGTCCGATACCGGTGGAAAGCGGAAAGCTATCGGTGAGAACGAACTTCACGAATTTGAAATTTGTTCATTTGTAAACTGGGAATCGGCATATGACTAGACCTCACTTTTAACGTGTGCAGTTTTCCTTGACTTCACGTTAGAACAGAGGATTAAAAACAAGAATATTTTTAAAGCGCAACCCCTTTTCAAAACAAAAAATGCTACGCCACTGGCCAAAATTTCATATTACGTGTAGAAAGTAGGGAATTATTTTGAAAAAAAATTATAATTTGCGTATTTTCACCTCTTTTGTTAATTAAATTACACAATTTAATTGGTTTCGTGATTACAAAAAAAAAATTTTCAATTTCAACTTAAAACAGTGTAATTCGCAAAAGAAACAATTTTGGCTCAATTATTATATTTTGCCCTCAAAATTACCCAATAGCATTCGTGCTTGTTCATTTAAAAACACCCTGTATATTCATAAAATACAACTTACATTTTTTATTCCCTCTTCGAAAAAACAAATCCGGACTCAGGTTTTAAGCAAATAGGCAACCAACAATAAATTTTTGCAGATTTTATTACACAGTTTGTCTAAATATCAATTAACACACAAATAACAGACTTCCCCCCATTCTAACGCAGATTTTCTATAAAATGGAGTTAGTTTGAAACTCAAGTTACTTTTTGTTGTAAAGAAATTTGTAATTTTGAACAAACGGCATCGTAAATTACAAATTTCTTTACCACAAAAAGTAATTTGAGCTTCAAACTAATTCCATTTTATAGAAAATCTGCGTTAGAATGGGGGAAAGTCCGTTATTTGTGCATCGATTCATATTTAGACAAACTGTGTAATAAAATCTATAAAAATGTATAACATTAAAAAAAAAAAGTTTTCACTACACTTTTGAATCTTGTTATTTTGCCCAGTCGATGTCGCCTTGTGTGATGATACAATAATTTACTCAACCTGCACGATTTCATGTTTTTTATTTAAAATTTGTTGAAAATGACAAGAAAAAACGGTAATGCACGAATATGTGGTCCCTGTCCCAACGCAAAGTCATTTCGATAGAATGCCCCGCTGCCTGTTTAAATTTTATTAGAGCGGAGTGAGAATTACACGCAGAAAATTACATACGAAACGTCGACGACGGTCGATCCGTTAAGTTCCATCGTTTTTAGCTCCGCCGGGGCTGCACCCGAAACAAGGAAAATTAAGTCCTTCCAGCATTTTCTCTGGACAGCAGATACAATAAGTCTTAATGATAATCTAACTCCTAACCAGTCTTAACATTTCACACATTTGCACTTAACGATACAAATTACTCAAAAATACGAAACCGTCGACTACGACGACGACACGGAAAAAACGTAACGAAAAAATCACAATCATACGCAACAGTAACCAAGCGGTCCAATAATAAGGAGCAATTATTTACAATAATTACAATTCTATTTCCACCTCCTTTCGGATAGTACAAAGGAAGATAGACTTATAAAAAAATAATAGTCATCTTTCTTCCGACGTCTACGTGTAAAAAATATCTCATCGTTCCCTTTCATCAATATGATCCCTATGATTCATAATAAATATGGCCAACAGCTTCGATTATTTACAGTAAAAAATCGGTACGAACGGAAACGGCGATAATCGACCCCTCTGCGGTATAAATAAAGCTTTGGTAAACTAACCTACGGAGAAATAATCACACGCACATTCACACAACAGCAATAACGTAACCGTCCTACGTCTGGAAAAGTTAATCCACGTTATCCTGGAAGATTAGACGTACGTAGCCGGGCGAGCCCGACAGCGGGCAGGCGCAGAACGGGCAGACTGCGTGGAATCCGTTGGTGCCGTGGGGGATAGCCACGTTCGCCCAGTACCTGCAAATATCAAGGTTTTAGCAAAATTCGTTATACAGAAATTTTTTGCTATTAACAATCTACTTTTTCAGTATTAACGTGTTTATTAAACAATTATTGTAACAGATCCTTTTAAATTTTTAAAATATATGTAAAATTTATTGAGACATATCAACTACTTATTGTCTACCGCCTCAGGAGATAAAAAAAAACTAAAAATATACATAAAATATGTATGACTTCAAAATTTTTAAAACTATAGAAAGTTCACAAAAATTTGTCAAAAATGAAACTTGCCTTTTTGAACTACTTTTCAGCTACCTCTTTGGATTGTACAAAATACTGCCAAAAATGTTGAAATTGGACCAACTTTTGAATGAAAACAAAACTGCATCATTTGGAAGGAAATATTACGTATGTAATTTCAAAAATTTAATTCAGAAGTTATAGAAAATTATCGTGAATACCAATGGATTCTAAGCATATAAAAAAAGTTACGTAAAATCACAAAAATAGTCAAAATTGAAATACACCTTGTATCTCACATTCAAACAAAAATCGAGATGTGGTTCTCTTCATTCAATTTTACCTGAAAATCAAACTCGAAACGTTTGAACTACTTTTTGGAAGGCACAGAAAAACCCCAAAAATTGCTCCCTGCAGAATAAAGAAGGCCCTTTGAACCAAAACAAAACTGTAGTACATTATTCGAAAGGAAATTAAACCAGAAGTTATAGAAAAATATCGCAAACGCCACTGGATTCTGCGTAAAAGTCTAAATAAAGAAAATTTATTCAAAACCTCAAAAAATGGTCAAAAATTAAAAACAACTTGCATCTCAGACAAACTCTCAAGACGCAGATCCATCCAATCAATTTTTATTGAAAATCAAGCTCGGGACGTTTGAACTATTTTTCGTCTACTTTCATCGGAAGATAAAAAAAAAACCCAAAAATATCAAAATTGGACCTCCTTGTACAATAAAGAAGTAACTTTAAATAAAAACAAAACTAGTACATCATTTTAGACTAAGATTTTAAACTGGACATTGTAGAAAAAATATCCCAAACACCACTGGATTCTGTGATAAACTTAAATAAAAATTACAAAAAATTGTCAAAAATAAAACATGCCTTGTATCTCAAACAAAGTCCCGAGGTGTGGTCCCCTCCATTCAATTTGTCTCAAAAATCAAGTTTGAGACAAATGAACTACTTTTTGTCTTCTTCCATGACAGATGCAAAAACTCCCTCAAAAAGTCGAAATGGGACCACCTTCTACAATAAAGATGTATCTTTGAACCAAAACAAAACTGTAGTACATTATTTGAAAGGAAAAATGGGTCAGGAATACCACTAGATTCTGCACATAAAGCTAAATACAAAGTTATTCAAAATTACAAAAAATTGTCAAAATGAAACACGCCTTGTATCTCAAACAAAGTACCGAGGTGGGGTTCCCTCCATTCAATTTGTCTCAAAAATCAAGTCTGAGACAAATGAACTACTTTTTGTCTACTGCCTTGACAGATACAAAAACTCCCTCAAAATGTCAGAATGGGACCACCTTCTTCAATAAAGAAGTATCTTTGAACCAAAACAAAACTGTAGTACATTATTTGAAAGGAAAAACAGGTTACGTATGCCACTAGATTCTGCACATAAACCTAAATAGGAAGTTATTCAAAACTACAAAAAATTATCAAAATGAAACACGCGTTGTATCTCAAACAAAGTACCGAGGTGTGGTTTCCTCCACTCATTTTGTCCCAAAAATCAAGTTTGGGACAAATGAACTACTTTTTGTCTACTACTTCCTTGACAGATACAAAAACCCCCAAAATGTCAAAATGGGACTACTTTCTACAATAAAGAAGTATCTGAACCAAAGCAAAACTGTAGTACATTATTTAAAAGGAAAAACAGGTCACGAATACCACTAGATTCTGCACATAAACCTAAATAGAAAATTATTCAAAATTATAAAAAAATTGTCAAAATGAAAGCCTTGTATCTCAAACAAAGTCCCCAGGGGCTTGATTTTTGAAAACAGGAGAATTAGTTCATTAGAGAAAATTACGTCATTTTCTCTTGACACGCAGATAATGTGATTTTTGAAATTTTCTTGTGGAATATTTTCTCTAGATATCAAGAGAAATAATTCCACAGGGTTTTGTCGGGGGAATTGGCGTTTTCTCCGAATAGTTTGAATCCAAATGTCATCTCATGCTCATGCGCGAAAAGTCACTTCATTCATTCGCTGTTCGAAGGTGCGTAATCATTTGAAATTTGTAATGGATCCAAATAATTTATTATTAATTCTAAATATAATGAATAATTTGCAAGCTGCAGAAATTGTAAACCATCCGCGACAACATTAATTAAACCATTTAAAGTTTCAGCAATATCTGACCACTGTTCTTGGGCCTTTTTGTGAGTAAAAGTAGAAGAAAACTTTCATTTTAAAAAGTTCTTCGTTGTTTCTAAGCATATTAATTTCTTTTTTGCGCTTTCGACGTGAACGAACGCTTCATCATAATTATAATAATATTAAATTTTTTGTGTTTTCAAATATACTTCTATTCAAATTGAAGTTATATTAAATTACTACGAATATCATGGAGATGTCTAGTCTCCCTGACGAATATAATGACATTTACAAAACAAACTTCAAAATCAAATCAAGTGACTAAACATCAGGGTCGCCAATAATGGCACTGAAATATTGAAGAAAACTCTGCCCGCTGATTGGTCAGTTGCAAATATATCCTCGACATACGGCATAAATTAAATTCTCTAGAGAATTGGATTCCTTCAACGTTCAAAAATAAGTGTTTAAGTTTTTAAGAGAAATTTGTCAGGTGAATTTTTTCTCTGGAGAATCAGTTCTCCTGTTTTCAAAAATCAAGCCCCTGNAATTCGCACAAAAACCAAACCACCACCCTCGTATGGATTTTGTCGTTTTTTCGATGAGCATTTTTCTCCTTCAAAAATAAATATAGAAATCTGAAATTTTAGGGGTGTACTATAAGTGGGGAGACCTAAGAGCGAACCTGATTTCAACTGGCCCTTTCCACCTTAGTAGGTGCAGAGGGGGTGAGGGGTGGTCTTTTAGACGTACCCCCAAGAACGCGTTTCTGGGGGTAGTTTTACGCATACAATCCGAAAATCACAAAATAAATAGGGTACGTCTAAAAAAACCTTCACCCCACCCCCTAGGGTGGAAAGGGTGAGTTGAAATTACGTGCGCTCTTAGGTCTCCCCATTTATAGTACAACCCTAAATTTTCAGATTTTTAAGTACTACTTTAAAGCAGTTTCTTTATTATCATAAGTTTTTGATAATTTTTATTTCAATTTTTATCTTTAATTTTTTTTAAGTACGTATTGTGATATACAAAGACTAAATTTTCTTGTTCTAGATATTTCCCATTTTTTATTTCTGGGTTGATAAAACTAAATTGCTAATAAACAGCGTACTTGCTTATAAACAGTCAGTAGCACGCAACAAAAATTAGAAGTCAGTATGATAAAAAAAATATAAAATTCCAATCTAAATATGAAAAAAAAATAAAGATCACTTGATAACTTTTCTTAAAGTTCATATATATGACATGTATTTGGTGTCAAATTAATCAGCAAGGCATTAGCAATATAAAAAAACTAATTTGAATATAGTTTTTTTTTAACAAAATTCATCTGATATATATAATGATATATATTTTGATATATATCACCCAAAACTAAATAGCATGCTATTTTACATCACTAAATTTTTTGTGTTTTCAAATACACTTCTATTCAAATTGAAGTTATAATAAATTACTACGAATATCATGGAGATGTCTAGTCTCCCTGACGAATATAATGACATTTACAAAACAAACTTCAAAATCAAATCAAGTGACTAAACATCAGGGTCGCCAATAATGGCACTGAAATATTGAAAAAAACTCTGCCCGCTGATTGGTCAGTTGCAAATATATCCTCGACATACGGCATAAATTAAATTCTCTAGAGAATTGGATTCCTTCAACGTTCAAAAATAAGTGTTTAAGTTTTTCAGAGAAATTTGTCAGGTGAATTTTTTCTCTGGAGAATCAGTTCTCCTGTTTTCAAAAATCAAGCCCCAGGTGTGGTTCTCTCCATTCAATTTTTCCAAAAATCAGGTTTGAGACAAATGAACTACTTTTTGTCTACTTCCTCGGCAAATACAAAAACTCTTCTAAAATGTCAAAATGGGACCCCCATCTACAATAAAGAAATCTCTGAACCAAAACAAAATTGTAGTACATTATTTGAAAGGAAAAACAGGTCACGAATACCAATAGATTCTGCACATAAGCCTAAATAGAAAGTTATTCAAAATTACAAAAAATTGTCAAAATGAAACACGCTTTGTATCTCAGACAAAGTCCCGAGGTGTGGTTCCCTCCATTCAATTTGTCTCAAAAATCAAGTTTGAGACAAATGAACTACTTTTTGTCTACTTCCATGACAGATACAAAAACTCCACCAAAATGTCAAAATGGGACCTTCTACAATAAAGAAGTATCTGAACCAAAACAAAACTGTAGTACATTATTTGAAAGGAAAAAACAGGCAGTTATAGAAAAATACACAAATGCCACTAGATTCTGCATATAAACCTAAATAAAGAAGTTATTCAAAATCATAAAAAAATTCCAAATTTAATTATTGAACTACTTTCCAATTAGGTAAGTATGTAGTACAAATAACCCCCTAAAATGTGGAAAGTTGACCACTTTGTGCAATACCTATCAAAACTGTAGTAAAATGTATTAAAATAATTTTTTATTTTCTTTTTTTTTAATACTTGACTATAACATAATTTGTTCAATCACTTACTTCACAGTTTTTTCTGTGGCCATATGCCCGCAAGGATTAAAAGCAAATGTCGGCAACCCAGAATCCACGTAAAAAGCTGGTTCCAACCCCATAAATACCTTCACGACTGGTCCAAGCTGAAAATAAATATTAAGAATTTTTAAAAAAAATTGTAATAGTTCCAACTAAAAAAAGTTAAAAAAAAAAATGTGTACCTAAATTATATTATTATAAACACCCACCTCTAAGCAAATAGGACACTTTCTGGATCCGGTATCCTTATCCTGGCCCCAATCGTGTAATCCTTGGACGTGTCCACAGTTGAGATAGACGTAGGGCTGCTGCTGGTTTTCGTTGGGAGATACTCTTCTTGGTATTACCAGTGTGTTTAAACCGACTGGACACTGTGGTCGTCCAGCGTTTATTTCATCGATTTCTCTTTCTAAATCTCTTTTACTCTGGGAAAAAAACATTAAATTAAGCAAAACAATTGTCAAAAAGTAAAATAAAAAATGTGATGATTTTTTAAATACTCACTGGAGATTTTGATAATCCCTCTGCTGATCGCCACAATAACGTGGCCCCGCAAAGGTCGATTAGAGTTCCGTCTTGAAGTACATTTGTTGCGTCTTCAACCTTAAAAGTTTCATGAACAAAATTACTTAAATATTAATGTTTTATTAAATAATAATTTGATGTTTCATTAAAAAATAGGGGAAGTTTCTTGGGCCAAAAATTTAAATTTTACTTATTGGTAGAGGGCGCTAGTTATCAGTAGGACAATGATTTAACTATTTGGATGTGTATCTACAGAAACGGTGTGTCAATAAAACAATTCAAAATCACAAAAATGAAACACGCATTGTATCTGAAACAAAGTATCAAGATGCAATTCGCCCTATTCAATTTTTCTCGAAAATTAAACTCGGGACATCTGAACTACTTTCCGTCTTCTCCAGATACAAAAAAAAAAACAAAATTGTCGAAATTAGACTACTTTGTACAATAAAGTATCTTTGAATCGAAGAAAAGGTAGTACATCATTCAAAAGCAAATATTACGTAGATTTCAAACATATTTAACCACAAGTTATAGAAAAATATATTGCACTCTAAATAAATCAAAAAAAAAAAAAATTATTCAAAATCGTAAAAATTTACCAAAAATTAAACACGCATTGTATCTGAAACAAAGTATCAAAATGCAATTCGTTCTATTCAATTTTTCTTGAAAATTAAACTCGGGACATTTGAACTACTTTTCGTCTACCTTCTCGGGAGATACAAAAAACCCTCAAAAATGTCGAAATTAGACCACTTTGTACAATAAAGTAATTTTAAACCAAAGCGTAAACCTAAAAAAAATATTCAAATTCGCAAAAACCTCTATTGTTGCCCTCTACCAATGATCACAAGATGACCACTATTTTTTCAATTTTCCCCGATCTCAGGAAGCTCACAATAGGCTGTGCCCCGTTCTTAATTTAGCGTCCTGTATTTCACAAATTAATATGTTTCAAACATTTTAATCTCAACTTACCACTTGACCTTTCTGTTGGGCAGATCTCGACTCTCTAAGCGAAAAAACACCTCCGCCAACCGACGTCTCCAGCCAATATCCGCACTTAGCCTCTCCTCCGCAAAAACTTCCCCGTGGATGCATGATTAGAACTCCGTTTGTCGTAAGCCCGTCGATTTCCCTTCCATTTTCCTGCCACTTCGTCGCTTTCTCCTAAAATTTATCGTGATTATAACCGGCAAACGTATAAAACTTGTAGAACTTACTCCTAAGAATATATTTCTTGAAGTATCGAAACCAGCGGCGTATATTCTGGCGATTTTCGGATTGGTCCTGTCGCACAATATTCTACAGGCGAACCGCGATATCGTGCTCTGGTTCACTTTTACCTCGCCGGTCTTGTCTCCGGGGATGGTGTCCATCACCACGAAATCTATCGGAGACTCGGACGACCTACCAATCTGAAAAACAAAGATCTGTTTGAAAAATACTCGAGTTTATTTCGTTTACTTAATTTAATTCTTCAATTATAGGACAAATAAGTGCCTAGAAATATACAAATGTGTGTACACAACAAAATTATAACAAAAAAAACACAAACATAGACAGGAAACTATAAATTAAATTGTCAATGAATAAAAAACAGACAAAAATAATAATTTATGTACAACACATAAAAAATCAAACAGTTACAAAAAAAGAACAAAATACAAAAAATGTATACAATTAACAATGATTAAAAAACAAACAGCAGATAGATAAACATAAATTTTAAAAATGAAAAAAAGGAACGACAAAATACAGAAGATCTCTATACAAAAAAAATCTTTTAATATCTGCCAAAGAAGAATTGAATATATCCAGAATGTTCTCAATGTCAATACAATTAATTATTATTAGTTGTAAAGGAGATCAGTAGGAGGAGATATTACATTTATCTGATTAAAGTACGATATACTCAATACTGTTATTAACAATAATGGTTGCACTAGGTGTTACGAGTATAATTCAATGCCCTCGAAGTAGTTGTTTCTCGCAACACCGGCAATTAAAACAAATTATTTATAGGGAAAAAAGTTACGGCATTACATTTGGATACACATAAAGGTAGTCGACTGTTGTCACGCCATATGCCGAACAAGTCCAAATTGTGCTGAAGATTTTTAGTCAGATACAGCGTTGACAAGCACAAGTAATTGACAGTAAATATGTCTTCAAATCACGAGCACACAGCAGAAAGGCGGCAATTAAATTATTCGTGGGATCATTAACAAAGAGAATAAACAATAGTGGGCCAAGTATGGAACCCTGAGTCATGCCTGACGTTTCACTAGATATGTCAGATTTGTAACCACGGTATTGTACAAATTAAACATAATGGGAAAGACATGATTTCAGTAGTAGTATGGAATGTCAAATTAATCATAGATAAATAGTTTGCAAGTTTCGAAAGAAATATGTGTAGACCACATCCACCTTTTTAATCAAAAGTTTCAACATCAAATTTGGATAACAGACGCTAGATTGTCAGCAGCATTCGTGTCACCTCAGGACAACAGAGGGACTTCAATAGAGCTAGCGTTTGCCTTGGTATGAGCCTGTTTTAAAAATATATTATTTTTGGCAGCATGCACAATGAACAGCTTGTAAGCCCCAAGCAGCATCCGTCACATCCACAGGATATTGATTAATGTTCTTATTAAAATATATACGATTCATACAGCAGAACTGAACAGCCCTACTGTGAGAAACTGGATGGTTAAGTGAACAGCGAGTTGTGAAGCGTATATCTTACCTGGAACATATCGGTATCCTCGTCGTTTGTATATTCTACGATGACCGCGTGATTCCTTGACAAGGTATACGATATCGAGTGTTGAGTGGCATCTAGGATGGCTTGCGAGGAGTGTGGAGTTTTAACTACGTAATGCCTGGACCTTTTGACGCCGTTGGCCACCGGTCTTTTATACAACATGAATTTACTTCTCCTTCGACCCCTGTCGCCTTGGGGCAAGAAGCCATTGTATCTGAAACATATTTTAAGTTCTCAAAATTGTATACAATATGTCGTGTGTATTCTGAAAGAATAATAAACATTGTTACTATTCCTGTTATTATTATTAGTATTCATTTAGGAATTTTAGTCCAACCAAATTACACTTGGAAAAAAAAAATAATTGTTACCTGGGCTTTTATAAGTTGAAATGGTAAAAGGGCTTATAATAAACCTAAAAAAAAAATGCGTTTGCAGGGGCGGCGGAGAGTTGATTTGGGGGGTTGAAAAGTTATGGAAAATTGTATCATTGGGATTTCTGGCGAAAGTTGACGTCAAACCAAAAAGTATCCAATCCAAAAGTTGTAGATCATGCAAAAATCTACAACTTTTGTAGAGATCACTTTTTAACATGACCTCAAAATTTCCGAGAAAATACGAAAAACAGGTTTTTTTTCCGAATTTTTCGTGTTTTATTTCTTATTTCCGCAGAAATAATTTAATTTTGACGAAACTTGGTGAAAGTATACCTTTCTCTGTCTTAAATAACTTTTCTTACTTCTTTTTTTAGATAAAAAAATCAAGAAGTTTCTGATATTCATTTTTTTCGGCCTGACGCATCAACAATTACTGAAAAATTCATAGCTGCAAGTAAATTTTTACTTTTTTGCATTTTTGAGCATGTTTTTGAACTGTGATTACAGATTTTTTTATTTCACCAAAAAGTATATGTCAAAACGAAAAAAATGATTACCGGCAGAACTCTGTACGATGATTTTTTTAAGTAGAATTTTTCTTTGAAAAAAGTGTTTTAGGCCGAAAAAAATGAATATCTCAGAAATTTGCGGTTATTTAAGACAGAGAGAGGTATACTTTCACCAAGTTTCGTCAAAATTAAATTATTTTTGCGGAAATGAGAAATAAAAAACGAAAAATAGAGAAAAAAAACTGTTTTTTGCATTTTTCTCGGAAATTTTGAGGGTATGTTAAGAAATGGCCTCTACAAAAGTTGTAGATTTTTGCATGATCTACAACTTTTGTATTAGATACTTTTTTGTTCGACGTCAACTTTCGCCAGAAATCCCAATGATACAATTTTTCATAACTTTTCAACTCCCCAAATCAACCCTCCGCCGCCCCTGCTCACGCATTTATTTATTTTTTTCGTTTATTATAAGCCCCTTTACCATTTCCACTTATAAAAATCCAGTCCAACAATTTTCTTTTTTTTTCCCTCTAAATGAGTTATTTTGATCGGTCTATTTAGTGATTTTGCTTATATTTTTCCATTTTACACTATTCGACTTTAAAAAACTGTTGTACATAATCGCTGTGAGGTAGTGAAAAAAATTTGCTCGCATTAGTACAATTGTAATGCTTAAATTCGTGCTGGAAAAAATGTATGACTCCACGATTAAGCTTTATTTATTTCTTTATTATACAATTGCATAAAAATACTTTTTCTAAAATAATAAATAACACTACATATATAAGTAAGAACTGGAACAGAACTTAATCTGACAGGAAACCATAAAACCGTAGATAAAACTTGATGAATAAGAAAGTGGCACAATTTCAAAGTTTATACTTTTATCTAATCCTATTAGGACACCCGTTTTTAAATCGATAGAATAAATTGAATAAAGCTATTAACTGCTGATCAAAATAGGAGTAACAGTAAACTCAGTCTTTGGAGTAGTCTACTTAAAACATTTAAAATATTTTGGTGATAAAAAGTACCAAGATAAAAAAATCGAAACGAAGTTTTGGGTATCTTGTAAAATACACTTCAATTCGAGATTAAATTCTTCATGAAACTGTAGAAAGTTAATTTTTTTTAAAGTCCACTAGTATACATTTGTTGGAAAATATGTTAATTGTGTTTAAATTATATGGTTCCAGACATGAAGATAATCATTATTAATACCTCACTTTCTATTTTACCATAAAGCATAAAAAAATTTGGTAGAAATCTCTAATTCCTATCAAATTTCATAAAATAATTCAACATGAATTTCAAGATGATGAAAGAAGATTGCCTAAAGTTAATAGGTTTGTTAAATTTACTTTGCAGATTATTAACCTGTTTAATGTAATTTGTAGCAAACAAATTAGAATAAAAAAAGAAAGGAAGACCATCACGATTCCAAAAAATAATTACTCCAAAAAAACATTTTTTTTTATTTACAGGATAACACTATTTAAACTTCCCATCCATTTAAAATTTAATTTAAAAAAATCATCTTCCTGTATCTCAAAAACAAAAGACGATAGACCTATGGGCCATGGGAAACAAATCATCTTATTTTTTGATATTATCACAATCTAAAATTTCTGCACCCATCTCCGCAACACCCTGTATAAGAGGACTTACCCTAAAATCACTAATTCTCCATATTTAATTAGTTGTTTTGGTTTTTCTGAGTTGGCACTCTCTTGTTCCTCTAAAATGGGAGACTCGGTGCCATCCGATCTGCAAAGAAAAAGAAGAATATGAAGCTTTGAATTTAAAATATATACTTACAAAAAAAAGTTTAAATCAAGAGAGATGTTGAGCGTTGCTCGAGAAATAAACAACTGACAGTTTTATCATACAAAATAAAAATGACAGGCGGCTTTTTGCTCTACCAAAATTTAAAAATCCCGCCGCGCCGGAACTCATGGACCCACAGAACAGGGAAGAATCTACTCCCTTTGAATATGGCTAATTAGAAGTATTATATATTACATAATTAATTCGATTTAAAAGGCAGTAGAGGTCATGATTTTATTAAACAAATTTAGTCAAACAAAATAAAACAAAAAAATATTAAACTATTCCATGAGCTGTGTACCGTGTTCTAATAAACAAGGATTTGATTTACTTAAACGGTTGTCAAAAATAATCATCTTCGTGGTAGGTCGATGATCGAATAAGTAGAACATAATAAGCTATCTACTGACAACTTTCGAGATAAATATGTTTTTGCCCCACTTCCGATTAAAATTTCAATGTTTACCCTGTAATTATCTAACCTTTGTCTTCCTAATCGTCTTAATATGTAAAAGAATCAAGGTATCAAATAACTGTAAACATCCACGTACGAATTGTACACTGCGTCTCAAAAATTTTGGAATAGTTAAAAACGCAAAAACACGTAGTATGGTTTGGTAAATCTGTCTCTAATAGAACGTATAGGCATAAATGAATATTTCTAAGACCGTTGACGTTGGGTTCTTTCGGATAGACAGCCAAGTTTAGCTAAGATGCCCCTGGAATTATAAAGCCAATATACACATACATGTACTTATACCGTGTTTGTCTTGAATATTAACTGTACACACACTTATTGTTATCATTAATTAAATATTAAGCTATTCCCGGCTAACAAGTCTAACTATGAAGGATTGCCGAAAGTCAATACGTGCGTTGCTTCAAATGGCATAATTTCGACACCATAAACTTTTATTGACCGAATTGTATTTTTAATGGACATACCGACAAAGTACGGCGACAATTTGCTGTGTGAAAGATGTATGTAATTAAGTTTTTTATTGCGAAAAAATTAGGTTAGGATTTTTTGTTGAGTACCGCTGACTTCACAGCTATGCAATGTTGCCGGTGTTACACTTTTTAATAAGCATTTCTTGGGCGATACGGCAAAGAAACTTTGAAATATCTTCATACCTATAAGTATATAAAAAAACAAATGTTTATATCTCTTAAGTTAAACTTTCAACTGTTTTTTTTGTATATACGCTCTAGATCGTTTACGCTTTAGATTCTACCGTAAGTATTTACTAACTTAGTTTATTTGGAATATTTCTTTAATCTCTGTACCAAACCGCTTTTTCCGCAAATGCATTTTCATTGTACAAGAAATACGCTTTTAACTTTTCACTATTCCGGAAGTGTGGGCCGAGTACGACTCTGTTGAAGGCTGTGTATCTCAGCACGCGCAGGGTTTTAATTATTAAAAAAAAAAAAACATTATTTCTAGGTATCTTTTTTATGTGAAAATGCCACTCATAAAACTTGCACCCAGTGAAAAAATCGTTTAAACAATATAGAACGTTTTTGCAAAATATTAAGTTATGAATAGGCTTAGTGCGGCGCGAAGTTTAACAGAACCGCAGTCAGATTACGAATGAGAATATTAATATGTTTGCAGAAAATATTGAAAAATTTGAAATAATTCCCGTCTATTTCTTTTCTCTTTCCGCATTTTACTTCACTTTTCCCCCCAACTAATAGCTGTTAATATAAATTATGTTACTATTATAGATAGTTATTTAAATACACAGGGCGAATACAATAAAAGAAATGTATCGACGCGACACCAACGACTAAATAACTCAACAGTTCAAAACGCGAGTCAGCTGTGAAGGCCACAGGCTTCCGCGCCGCACTATCGGTCAAAGGGCATTTTTTTATGTCAAAATCAAATATCTCGAAGAAGAATTAACGAATCGTTTTACATTTTTTTTTTAATTAAAGCTTATTTAATGCAGATTTAGGGAAACTGATTTCGAATGTCATCATCCCCTATTTTGGGGGTGGAAATGAAGGATAAATAGGTGAAAAAAGTGAAAATCGATTTTCTTTGCTCAAAAATCTTATATCTTCGATAAATACAGTGAAATTAAGACACATTTTGGTGGAATCAATGCTCAATTGAAACAAGTTAAGGAAAAATTAATGAAAATATTTTCATCCCTATTTTAGGGGTGGAAGTGAGGGGTGAGGGTGTGGAAAAATTAAAATTAAAGAAAATATGCATAAAAGGCTTTTGTTGTCGCTGACCGCGACTAAAACCATCACTAAAACAAAATTCTTTTCGGGAACTGTTTTTATGATCCCCTGATTTAGGGGAAGAACTGAGGGGTGGGGGATTGAATATTAAAATTCATCTGAAATATTACCAGTCTTTCAATTCTCTGATCTTAAATAACATGGTAGACGATTTTCATGCCATCTGTAAATTTCAGGGTGATTTTTCATTATCCCTTAAGGGAAATGGCAATTTGAGGTTAGGGGTGGAATGTAAAAAGTCAAAGAAGGTATTTGTTGAGGGTTTTTGTGGCCCCTAGATACGTAAACGTTTATTTTTTCGTCGTCAAACTTTTAAGTGTAGCTTTTTATTAGTCCGTGCTTTAAGGGTAGGAATAAGGGGTGGAAAGATTTTCATCACTTAGCAAAAATCTGTCATCGGAAGGGGTTCGATGAATATAAATATGATCACTGTTTTTAATCCTCTCTTACTTTCTGGAGGTTTTTCATCACGTCCTCCTTAAGGATGCAAATTAAGGTTGAGGGTTAAAAAATGGAAAAGTACTAAAAACAGACGAGTAAATATACAAGGATTTTTTTCGTTTGCTGAAAAAAAAAAAAGAACTTTTGAATGCTATATTGGACAGTATATCATAATTTTTCCGTAACTTGTTTCAATTGAGCATTGATTCCACCAAAATGTGTCTTAATTTCACTGTATTTATAGAGATATAAGATTTTTGAACGAAGAAAATCGATTTTCACTATTTCACCTATTCACCCTTCATTTCCACCCCCAAAATAGGGGATGATAACATTCGCAATAATTTTCCCTAAATCTGCATCAAGTAAGCTTTAATTAAAAAAAAATGTAATACGATTCGTTAATTCTTCTTCCGAGATATTTGATTCTGACATAAAAAAATGCCGTTTGACCCATAGTACGCCGGCTCTGTTAGTATGCACGTGCACTAAGCCTAGTTATGAATTAAGAAATTAAATAAAAACCATCCAGTTTTTTTACCAAAATTTAAGTTTGTGACCTTGAATCCTGGTTGGCTACAAACTCTAAAAGATGAAGGAAGTAATAATACTAATAATACCTAGGATAATACAAACATCATATGATATCTCTAACTGAAAATTGAAATGCAAACTGGCAAAAACAAATAAATTTAAAAGTGGCAAAAATAATTAAAAATGAGGTTATTACAAGAAAACAGATTTTTAAAACGTTAATTTTTTAAATGCGCCATATGCAGCGATGTGTATTTTGTATGTCTGCCTTTTTCAATGTGAAATTTTTGGTTAGGCAAAGCTTATTTCATAAAAATAACCCTTGACCGATCCATTTGGAGCATTTTTTTTAATTTTTAAATAAAATTAAATAAAGAAAAAACGAAAACTATGGTACAATTAAATAACTTTAGACAATATTTTAAGTCTACTAGTACAAATGTTAAAAAACAATAAGTGGACCAAAAGCCGGCTGACTGTATCCGTGTCATATAAATTTAAAAGGTTAACGAGAACAAAGTGTTCAATTCTAACAGTATTTTTTATAAAAAAAACACTATATTAAACATACAGCTACATACATGTTTACCTAAATTCGATCCTACTTCGCGATATCGATTACATGTAAACAATCACCATAAAGTCTGGGTAATGCAATTGCAAGTTTCCGTTAATCAAAGATTTTCAATGAAGAAAATTGACTTACCGCTCATTTATGACCCTAGGTAGATTTACTAAACACAAACACCTCATTCTCGCGAAATTTATACGCGACTGTATATCTCTAAATTTAACATATATTTATATTTTTTACAAAACACTAATAAATGACATCAGTTGTTAATTGCGCTGTTTTGTTGAAAGTTCATTATCACAATATATACAAAAGTGAACAAAGGAGAGATAAAGCCAGACGTATTGCGACTATAGGAACGAGAAAGTTATAAACAAACTAACAACAACAATATAAGTGCGGAGTGGTTTTTTTTTGTAACCAAATTACGTTTTAAGCCGCGTTCAGAAGACTAGGACACACCTTCGTTGTTTCTTATCTACTATCCCAATAACTGTAATAATTTACAACTAGGCATATGTGTACGATAAAACGATGCTTTTATTACGGTCTTACTGATAGGTGAGCTTGCCAAAAACGTATCGAAATGTACACCGCTACAGATGAGTTTCTTTAAGTATAAAACTGATTACAATTGGACTTAATACAACGTGAGAAACTGTAAATAAAAATGCGTTCTAAAAAAACAAGTGTCAGATATACATAGATACGGACATCAGTCGAAAACCCGTTTGGTATAACACCAAACCACTTTCCTTTTGCTCTTATATCGTAAGCCTTATTAGCCCAGTAAATGAAATTTGTAATACATGTAAATCAAAAGGTAATTTGTTTCAGATTGAAACTTGGTTTAATCGTTAGTTTAGGCAAAAATAAATAATATTTCCCAAAAAATTACGGTTTAAAACAACAAGATCATTGTTTAAACAATGATTGTAATGTAAAAATGTCCAAAAATGGAGTTTTTAGCTGTATTAAAAAGCTATCTTCAACGGGAGTTTTTGCTTCTGTTTATACTTATAGGTTTTCAAAAAACGCTTCATTTGAGATCTGCTAAATTAAAATCCATTAACAACTTGTTTAAATAATTGCGAAATTTGAATATGCTATAAATAGAAGAAAAGAGCATAAA